TGCCACACTTCGCACTTTCGTATACTAAACTTGATTTCGTTTGTCCTCATTCGAATTAAGTAAAGTTTTCACGATCTGAAGAATTTATGCGATCCATCAACATTTTTCTGCGACTCAAACATTTCAAGCAGCAGAAATCTATACTGAGATAAGGTGTTTCCCAGCCTTATGTACAAGAAAGCAAAGTTAAATAAATACTGTAAATCTAAGTATTTCAAAAATTAATACGATGTTTCTATTTTAAATTTTTGTTGTCACTTTTTAACAATTGTCTGAAAAGGACTGCTTTCTGTGCAACACAAACGTTTTTCTTTGCCTTTAATTTAAATCCTGGAATGCTAATACTATAGATAATAGGCCAAGAGAAAAATCAACAAATAATACACTCGTACCACAAACTTAGCAGGAGACTTTTGTTAGACGGTTGTCAAATTCCATTCATGTACTATTGAATGGTAATATAAACAAATGTTATAAAAGAGTAACGAGACGTAACTATTGGGGCAAGGAAGAAAATATCAATCATTTTTTATGTTTAAAGCCGTTAATATCTTACTCCCACAGTATATCGGTAAGTCTATTCAAACCAACCCCAACCCTAATTTAAAAACCATGACGCGTACTGTCTGTATTGTGGAATACTTTAGATTCGCAAACCTATTGTAGTCGGTGGTATGTGTGAATTGACATTTATGAATTAGCCCGATTTCCATTAAATCGAATCGGGAGCCTTCTCGGTTCCTTGGAGGACAGCCTACACAGTGCACCGATTGCACAGGAAACACTGTAGCGACTTTTTTTTTTTTTTTTTCTCGATCAATGAATAGCCTACAGTATATCGTAACGTATCGTATCTATCGGTGTGGGTCAACTGAACAACGAAAATCATAATACTTATTTCATGCAAGTTGTACGCTATATTTGCCTATATTTAGATCATTGATTTGTAGGATTTTCACAAAAAGTGTACCATTTTTTACTTGCTAATTATAACTGTAAGCGTGTTAATTTTCAACAAACTGTACTGTATAAAGCTACGTTTACAGCAAGTCTATTTTCCAGTTTGGAAACCGGGCTTGGTGTGATTGTGTGTGAATCACAAAAATTGACAGACATGTGCCAGACAATAATTAATAACATACAGAAATAAATTTTACAATATTGAGTTTCAAGTCATAAAATATAGTGTGGCTTAAAATATTTATCTTTTTCGATCAACACCTCACTTGACCAGTAATATTCAGGATGAGAGATACAACATTATACAGTATTCGTTTTATGATGCGATAATGTACCTGTGGTTCAAGTTTGACTAATTGCCAACACCAAGGATCATATAAAAGACAATTAATAAGTTAACTTTGGACATGAATGAAAACTGCTGGGTCATACAGAGATAGGTAGCATATACATAAACATATTAATACCCTGATGATGAGGAGGAGGAGGATAGTAATAATATTGATGACGGTGAGGACTACGATGATGATGGTGTCACGATGGTGTTGCTGATGCTGATGATGATGATGGTAACAGAGAAATTTCTAAAAGTGCCAGGTATCAATATTGTATGTGGAAAAAAATCAAGAGAAGAGTTAAATCCAAGAGATTAGAGTTAATCAGCCATTGACAGTCACTATTGGAGCATGCGGGAATAAAATTATTATACATGGGTGAGTCAGTCCTGCATTTTACCTATTGAAAGAAAATATTATAAAAGGTTTTTGTTACAATAGCCAAGTTCACAGATCAGATTAGCAGCAATGTGTGAGGGCGCTGTTCATTTTAGTTCAACTAGCAATCCTTAATAGTTATGCAAACCATAAACAATTCTACATAAAAGTATCTTGTGTGACCAGTAACTTAAAAATGAAACTATAATTTAGTTAATTTTGTTGCTGCATTACTGATCCCAATTAAGGAATAGTAACAATAGTAATTAATACATTATATTGTAATTGTCATTCGTTTATTGGAGATAATTACTGTATACATATTACCTTTTTTTCAATGCAAAAAAAATTCAAATTTGAATTGAATTTTTTTAAGTTTCTTAGAGTTCAAGATATACATATTTAAACTTGGTAACAACTTTGTATTTAGCAAACTCACATAATTAATACTTAATGCTAATGAAAATAATATATTTTTTCCCCTGAACTTTGATCAAATCCTTAAGCCCACTTACAATCAGCCTCAATATAAATCTTATCAAATAAATACATAAAATTTTGTCTAGAATTACACAACACTGAAATCAAATGTTTTTGAGACTAAATCACCGAAGAGGTGATGGTAACTTGCTACTGTTTAAGTTCCCCAATAAAAAATACTGATGAATATAATAAGGTAAATGCATCAAAGAATAGTAATCAAGAGTGAGGGCGCTGTGCATGGAATTACAAGGAGTTGGTAATGCATTCACAATGTCAATTGTATGACAAAAATCTAATTCAATTTAGTCAAAATTTAACATCAGATTAAACTTAAATGAATTCTGCTTTGGAACATAGTGAAACATCAAACAAAAATGATTTTAGAAACTAAATTTACTGCTACTTAGAGAGAGTAGAAAACTGTCAAAAACATAAAAATCTTAATTCAAATATCTTTTTGATTTTTTAATAAAATATTTTGTACAAGCTAATAGTCATCTCGAAATAGACTTCATGGCACTTGAATCAGTTTCTTGTAAAACAACCTGAAATTTTACGATCACTTATTTCTTAACAAATTCTACCGATTATATTTATATCCTGAAATTTTTGGTATCTGATGCCATTTTTACAGCTGGAAATTCTGTTCGATCAACAATAAATTCGGCGACAGATACAAATTTATGTTAGATCAGCAGTACATTCAGTGACATAGATCAAAAAATAACTCAATTTTTATTTTATATTAAATTATAAATCACTTGCCTCTACCCACCTGATAGTAAAAATCATCGACAGGAATCAATAGTTATAATGCTATATAACAGTCACTTGAATTAAGAAAATTTTGCCATTGCATCATGCCGTATACCCATGCTAATCATCATTTTCACACAGCAGACACCCTCATTTCTAATTATTTTGTGCAATAACTGCCAAAAGAGCTGAAATGGGTTGTCGTGAGACAATGGCAATATTTGATTTATTTAGGTTAAATATACGTGAAATAGACTAACACCAAGTTCAAACTGATTTTTTTTTTTTTTGGTCAAACTAACCATATATCTTGATAATTGTGACCATAAATTCGAATGCAAGTAGCCTACACAGCATTGTTCTTGGTTAAATACACAAGCTCTATGTTTAACTGAACAAAAATTGCCCGGAAAAACAACCAGGACGTTTATTCCGAGTAGGAAAACTCCACTGTGAACAACACGAATATGTGAAACCTTCTTGAGTGCTATCTACTACTGTGCATTGCTTAACTTTTCACTTAACGTATCCAACAAGTAAGCCCTGTCCAGAATATCAAATTTCATTTGACAAAAACATGTGACATGCCTAAATATGGTCATGATGAAATCACATCATGACCATATATAGGCACATCATGACTATATATGAGCATATAATAGTTTTTTTTTATCAAAGAAAATTTAATAGTACAGACAGAGCTTTAGGCTGACCATACACGCGCAAAACCTTACAACCTATTCTTAAAGCCCCATTCCTGTCAAAATTTCAGTTGTTAAGAAGATCGGATTTTTATGTATGTTACAAAGGTTTATAAATATAATACGAAATTGCTAGTTTAACTGAATTTAGACATTACTAAACATGAAAAAAATGTAAAATAAGACAGAAATTAAATTTTTTGTGTTACACACAAAAAATAAATGCGGATGGATTTTTCATGTTTGATTTTGCGATAGGTCTGCGAAGAAATATAGTAGGCGCCAAAACATTAGCCTATCCAGCACTGCTAGGCTAGGCCTAGCCTTACCTCGATTTAGGTTCTGTTATCACACATAAAAATGGCCGACATTTTCCGTTGCTAGTATTGACACTTGTGAAATATAATATTTCATAGAAATTATTTCAAATCTGTTAAAAAAATGATTTTGACAAAGATTTTGACAATTAAACAAACATATCTCAGGCCTACTCGATCGACCACTGTGTGCGAGATGCGAAGTACAAAAACTAATTTCATTAGAGAGGGCGCACTTTATTGACTGCATAAAGTATACATAAATGCGAGAGCATTCCTGCGGATGTGATTTACAACCTCTGAATTTGCCTAGTAACGAAGAATCTTTTGTGTAAAACTAAAATTTATGCCAATATTTTTCCATTGTTTATAATAAACAGAGTAATGAATTTTTTCTAAAAAATTCTTTTTTAGTAAAATTTTGCCGGGAATGGGGCATTAAGGCACGAGGGCTTGGTAAGACCTACTGCATGTATAAAATACAAACTACGGACAACAATAAAATAAAATCAACCTTTGATTTGGTCAAAATTAATTTCATGTGAAAGTGATCATGGAAATTATTTATAGGTCATAAACTTTACAGGGTTTACAACATATTGACCTTAAAACTTTTCAAAAAATTACAATTATAGTTGTATGTAAGCAATGCTGCTTCTTTCAAAATACAAGACTTGATATTGATTTCATATTGAAATTGATTAAGTGCTTTTGTACCATTGAAAATCTTTGGAGAAAAATTTTTAAGATATTCTCAAATACTGGAACTCTTTTCGAAGATCTATCTTTGGTTTCAAGTCTATGAGAATAGTATTAACATGTATTACATTTTTTTTAAATTATTTATTTTTTACAAGACAGAGACACTTGCTCTGAAGAGGTAAATTGGTTCTACCCTTGCTGTCAAAAGGTTAGAATGGCCTTGTTTAAAAATTCTACATACAGGAAGTTTCCTAAGAAGACCAGCTTCTTAAATATACTGTATTTTGTTTCTTTTCTTGTTCTTTTCTCAGTGTCTCAACTTTTCTAAACAATCTCAGAAATTTTACCCTTATTTGAGGCGAGGTACGATCTGGTAATTAGCAGGTAATAGTTTTTTCCTCCCCAACAAGGGGGGGCACTCTTCTGAATCAGAGGCCCTATACCCCCCTCCCAACTCCCCACTGACACCACCCATGAAGAGTTCAAGGTGAAAAATGAAAAAATGTTTTTAAATTTGAAAATGAATACTCTTATTTTATAACAATCAAAACCTCATAAGAACTTCAAAATGTCGAACTCAAAGAGCTCAATCACCAAGCGCATAGAGGCTTTTTCGCATGATGCGCTCTACAAATCCAACTATTATTAAGTTATGAATCAATCTGTCAATATTTACAGTAGTTAAAGAGCGCCATCAGGCGCAGCACCTGAGTGTGAACTTGTTAAGCATGACATATCATAACAATGATCCAGGCCATGACACGACTGTTAATGTGATGGAGCGTCCTGGGGCGTGCTTTAGGAGTGATACAGCAAGAGAGTGCTTCACACCAACAAGGCTCTGATCATTCACTGATAAAATCATATCACCACACCTGAAAACAAATAAACAAATTAAAATATTACCAACTACAATTCAAATAACACCCTGTATCTCGTCAGGCATTGACATTTTTTCCTAACATTTAATTTATTTTACTATTTTTTTTGTGAATAAATTCCTTTCCAAAGTTTGCCATGGCATTCCTGGTACTTCCATGCTTATTCAGGAAATATAACTTTTAAAATTATGATTTGACCACTAGAATCCCTATAAATGCTAAAACATATTTCATATATCATATTGATTAGACCATGCTTGCCTTAACGCCCTTTGTCAGAATGTCAATCGAACTTAACAACCGACCAATCAGAAATGGCACAGAAATATGTGCCTGTCCCACAAGTGCACATGTTTACATACATTTATACTGTTGTTTTGTGAGACCTTAGCAACAATATCCAAGAGGCTTGTGAAATGGTCCATTAATTAAAACATATGTCAATCGAACTTATATGAAATCAAAATAACTTCAACTTTCTTTTTTCTCATAATGTCCAAATCAAAGAGCTCAATCACCAAGCGCATAGAGGCTTTTTCGCATGATGCGCTCTACAAATCCAACTATTATTATATGTGGCAAAGACAAGCCAAACCACTCACTCCCCACAAAAATCAAATTTTAATTATAAATACAGGATTAAACACTAAATTGAAAGTTATAAAATGGTGAAAGAATCATTTAAATCCGATGTTTCGCTGTGAAGCTAAGGCAATTAAACATACAGTTGTTTAAATAACAGGGTTTCATAAATCAGCCTTCAAGGATTTTGGGGAATGTTTAGGCAGAGACCATCAGAAAACCGTTAAAAAACGTTGTTTTAACATCAAAAATAGGGAAAATAACAATGAAGCGTGATGTATAGATATATAAGAGTTAGTTTGGTGCAATAAAATAGATTCCACAAATTTTGACATTTCAAAATGTTTTGGCCATTATCTAAGAAACATGATTTGCGATGAGTGACTGGTTTGGCTTGCCTTCACCACATATGCTGTAACAATAAGAGTCTGAATTAAGTTTTTTTTAACTTACTTAAGAATGCCTCCACTGGCTGCGGCACCATTTGGTACTAAAGTCTTAACAAACACTGGTTGGTTGCCATGGGTACAATCAGACCCACCTACGATACTGAAACCCAAACTCTTGCTTTCTTTTCGTTTGATTACAACTGTACTTGCAGCTTGGCAATACCTGGAGCAAATAATTGAAAAAAAAAGTACAGTACAACATTTAGGCAATTATTAATTTTATATGAAATATCTTTCATATTATTGGTCCAGGTCTCAAAATGTTCCAGATCTATTTTTATTTTGTTCATTAAACCAAATAAAATAATAAAATTAAATTATGACAACTATTATTACATTTACCGATATTATAATGATTTTATCATATTAAAAAATACTTATATGTTTAATTTAAACAAAGATTCGCAGTGTAGTTTGTCTTGTAATGCCCAGGTCGTGGATCAATGAAGGCAAAAAAAAAAAAAAAATTCAGGATTATTATCTAAAGGATCAGCTCTACTCCTTAAACCCAAAACTTTGTTACAAAAATATGTTAGTACAGTGCATCATCTTATATGACCATCATATAGTAAATACTTGCTCCCCACTTTTAAGCAGTGTGAAGCAGATGAGAGCGTTGATGCTCCCCCTGGAGGTTACTCCCAGCAATTCACTGGTACTCACTGACACATCTGGCTAGACTGAAGCAATGTAGATAAAGTGCCTTGCTTCAAGGACACAAGCAAAAATGCACAGTGAAGGATTGACACCCCAACCTCGAAGTTTGGAAACCAAACTATTTCCACTGCGCCAAACTGCCTCCAATGAACTTCATATATAGAGCATGAATGGTTCCAAAAATGATCAGCCTTCTGGATCATGCTAGTGTCAAGGCCAAATCTTTGCCCATATAGTGTTAAAACAAATATATTTTTTTTTAATCACAGATAATATCCTAATACATAATTGGTTTGTCAAATGTAAACCTGTTGATGATAGGAAATACTTACTCTGGAAGTGAAAGCCACGTAAGCCATGATGGAGAGAACCTACTGCTAAGTTGATTAGGCTCAAGCCCTTCAATTAAACTGAGCGTGATCAGTGACCCTTGGGCTGATTTGAGTGCAGTGACTGCTTGAGCATGTGTCAGATTCAAGAGGCTTGTGTCATTCACAGCTAATAAGATGTCACCCCTCTGTAAAATTAAGAAAACATCAATCTGATGATGATTATTTGTTCACAGTAGTGCATGTGTTGACGCTTACGTACTTCCATATTTGCTAGCTGTGTCTTAGTAGTCGTTTTGCAGTGTTAGACCATTTACACACTACAGACAACAACGGTATAAAATAGGTAAGTGTCTGGACTTAAATTTACTCCCAGTCATGTATTCAAATTTGTGGAGTGCAAAGTTACTATAATCTTGATCATTCTTATGAGCCGGCAGTGGGTTGGCAAAAGGAGGCACAAAAAAGCCCTCCTAACAACATAACATTTACTAAGTACAGGTAGTGAGACCTACTGCACTTGCCATGCTTAGAATCAACAATGAATACAAATTAATAATACATAGTCTTCTTCTTCTTCTCCAGGATTGAGGGCCAACTTTATTTGAAGGCTTTGGCCCGAGATGGATGTGGAGTACTCATTCTTACAACTTCCTTCTCTCCTAAATGCGCTGCTAGTCCACAATGACAGGGAATGTGTTATCTACAGTAAAATATGTATCTAAACCCATTAAAATCTTAAATGAAAAATAAATAAATTAAATCCTTATTTGAACAGTACCTTGACATGTCCTTTGCGATCTGCAAGACCCCCAGGGAGAACATTACTGATGAAGATAGGGGTGTCCCCTCGTTTACCCTTCACTCCTCCACATACACTTATTCCTAGAAATTCTGATGGAGGCTGCAAAAATATAAAAATAATATGATTAGTATAGAATAAAGGACTGCAAATTGAGGGCAACTAGTTGGAGTGCAATCAGTCAACTACTTGAGTAAAACAATTTTTTTTTTGGCGGCTTAGCAAGTTTTCAGTGGGTATGGTGGTGCTGCAGGTGCAGGGTCTAGGACTGCAATTTTTTTATACACTTTAAAATGCAACTGCATTCTTACGATGTAATATCATTATCTATTTTTTAAAAAAGGAAGAAGCAGGGGTTACAAATTTATTTATAGGAAGTGCAACACCCAGCTCTTCCCCTTAAATATGCCACTGCATTTATACTAAATAAAAAGGCTAATAATAACATTAAAAGGCATTTTGAAAAACAATTATTATCATTTATATCATACCTTAGATATTGTTATTTGTCTTTCCCTTCTGACTCTAACAGCAGAAACATTCCTTGAAGGCACCATCGCTGCTGCCAATTCCTGAGCAACAGACGGCATAATTTCAGGGGTTTGTGACCTTGAAAGTCTTGAGATTGCCAGTCTTACCGTGTCCTTGGAATGCTAAAAAAAACAACATATGTATAAAACATTACTTAATATCTGTATATAAAAACATGATTAAAATATTATATGCAATATATTAAAATATACATCAAAGTAAAAGTGCAGTCATTTCATATACTCTATATAGTGCATACCCCGCCCTGTGCCCATAAGGAATAGTACACGCAGGGCGTTTACGGGGACGACGGGCGGTTACAATTATGTTTTTGAATGCTTGAGGGGTATTTTTTGGATATACATTTCACTAAATTTACTGAAGTTAACAGTACACTGATTAAGCCATTGCCTTCTGTGAAGATAAATTCATAAATTCCTTTTACAAAGACTAAATACATTAGGCCTCTAGTGCACTAAAAGACAATGTCCTAATCCACCTTTATTATACTAGCTGCTTGCTCTGGGCTGCCCTCTGTCATGTCTTCACCATTGATCTGCAGGATTCTGTCATCGATGGACAGTCGGCCATCTTGATAAGCAATACTATGGTCAACCAAGTCTAAGATGTAGATTCCAGCTGAGTGCCTACGAGAGAAAAACAAAGAGAATAAATATTTGACAGAAAAGAACAATATTCAGTGGAAATTGTAGTCTATGATGACAGAAATAAATCAGTGGTAACTTGATATGGACAGTCTTATTATTTCTAAGGGGTGGTCTACCGAAACAAAAATGTCGGTTTTATCCAAGTTACAGACTATAAAAATTACTTGAGAAAATGAAACAGTCAAACTGTCAACATACTTTTTAGCAATGATTTTAATTCCCAGTTGCTTTCCTTTGACCTTTCTGAGTGTGACATTCAAAAGGTCAATCTTATTCCTTTCCTCTGCCTTTTCTCGGTATATTGTCATCCTAATGGGTGAGCTGGCTCTCATGATGGTTTCCCTAGCGGTGTAATGTGACACATCCCGTAAGTCTTTGCCATTTACCTGCATAAGAAACAGAAGGGGAAAGATAGGTTTCAACCTGAAATGATTAAAATGTGTATTTTTTTACCAATTTCTAAAACTTTAATAATCTATAATTTATTATAGTGATTAACTCTGCTGACCAATGAAGTCAACACACAGATAAAAATCAACTGTGTTAACAAAAACATTGTATTATATATTTGAAGTATTTTTTCAAATTTCATTTTCATATTTTCACTTTTAGATGGTAAAAATAGTATGAATTGATTCAAGATTCAAGGTTTATTTTCGTCAATCATAGTACATACGAGACTTGTTTAAAATCGAAAAAATCACTATAATATACAAGACAACAATTAACAGATATAATATTAAATATAAATATAAATATAACAATATATACACATGGAAATTGGAAAAATATATTATTTAATAATTGATTGTTTTAATATCACCTTTTGGTCACTGGTACAAAATGATTCATTTTGTGGTAGAATTTTACATTTAAGTTGCAACTTAATTATACAATCAGTAATATTAAAAAAAGGAAATGTACTTGTTGATAAAATGTGTAATGATACATTATATAGCGCCCTCTACAGATGAAAAATGATTTGTATTTTCCATAGAGCTATTAAAAAACTAGAGTGCGGACAAGATGGCGGAGCCATGCAGAGTTGTGTATGTGTACCATCCAAGATGGCTGCCGTAGGAAAGCGCCACCTTCAGGCTTAGTATACATATTATTTCCATAAATAAGCCCTCTGACTGAATATTATTTCATTAATGATAATTAATATTGATAATGACAAATTATTAAACTGTCGTAGCCTTGTGGTAGAATTTTACATTTAAGTTGCAACTTAATTATACAATCAGTATTATTAAAAAAAGGAAATGTACTTGTTGATAAAATGCGTAATGATACATTATATAGCGCCCTATACAGATGAAAAATGATTTGTATTTTCTTTATACTGTACATAGCAAATAAGGTAGAAGAAGGTTATATGCCCCTGCGTACACATATTTAAAGTGGATGACTTTTTTTTTGTTCTGGTAGTAAATACCAATTTTCTTTTTAATGTTTTCTCCTTAATTACTTATTTTATAGACCAGCATTTTTTATAGCATGCCATTGTTAATTCTGAGTGATATTAATCTAGTTCATGTTGTGAATAATAATGTAATCATGAAAAATGCAATATTTCACCTCAACAATTTGATCTCCAGGCATAATTCTTCCATCTTTTGCTATCACCCCCTCTGGATAAATTTCTTGCACAATTGTGACAATCTGCAAAAAATATCAAATGTGTTTATTTATGTATCTCAGGATTATGATTAGGCAATTACAACAAAAAATTATAACATAATAACAGATTTTATTAGAGAATAATATACTGTAGACCTCACCTTCAGAAAACAATGCGGTAAATATGGTAAAAAGTATTGGACAACTGTACTAAAACCGGTATTACCAGTTACACGTTTAGTTGAAAATATACAATCAAAGAAATATGTATTCGTAACAAATCAAAAATAAGCTATTACAAATTCCCAAATAAACAAACAAATGATTTACAGTAACAATATTTTATGCTACTTTAAATATGTAAAACATGATGGAAGACAAGTAATTTAAAATTAAGTCTTAAAGGAGAAGGACATTAAGTTCATTCTATCAATCAATTAATCACAACAATCCCTTATATAGAGCCAATATCCACAACATAATAGTCATTAATGATGGCAATTCTTTTAAAGTGCAGAAACCTTATTTGATTAAAGCTTTACTGCAAAGGGGACTAGGCCTATATTTTTATGTCAATTATTATGAAATCATGGATGCAAAAAGTGTTGAGTGTAAATTTTAAGGGACAGCATTATCAGCTTCTTTGCTTCCCAAACCTCTTTCACTTAATTAAATTTACTTGTTGATATGATATAAAGGACAGCTACTTATGTGCAACAGTTCATTGGTCCTTCAGATGCCTTATCAATGAAAATATGCCTTAGTACAAATATTATTCATTCTATATGTGAGAAAATTATATTAGTAATTTAAGCAAAATATTTGCTTCTTGCCCACAAGCTTGACAGTTCACACAATCATCATGCTACTACCTTTGCTGCCAGACCACCTACTGCTGACCAATCCCCAACATACTTAGCCACCTATGGCTACCGACATTGACCCCCAACAAGTTTGGCACCTCAACGCATAGCCAATATACTAGGCCAGTTATGGACACTGACAGCCCCCACACTCCCAATATAACAGTCCACCTACGACCGACCATGGAAACATTATGTGCCCACCAAAGTACAACCATAGGCTACTGCTACTATTCTATTAAAGGTACTTAGACTGATTCCTAAGGCTTAAGAACTTGTCAATTTAGATATTTATCAAATAGTCTGTATACACTTCTGTTTCATTATATCAGACAATCTTAATTTACAAACAAAACATGGACTTTGTTCACTAAATATTTAAACATGAATGATCTAATCAGATACATATGGCAAACAATATTCCAGATTTTTCCATAATAATATTTGGAATTTTGTTTGAACACATTTTATTGTATTCCTATATAATGTAATTACAGTAGGTTTTTGGACTTTCTTTCAAGAAGCAGTCTAAAATTTAATATTTATTATTATGTATAACTTAAATTAATTACAAATATTTGTCATCCATATCTTCAAACATTCAACTATTTAAAATCTAAAAACTGACTATATCCTCAATATCAACTAGATTTGTAAGATTGTTGAATACACCATCCAGATATTATATTTTATTACATATCTAATAAATTTGATTTATTCAAAACTAAGTTTAAAAAATATTTTAATGATATTTAAATTGACTTTCTTTGTTGTTCTATTTTCTTATTATTCATTTCATTTTTTTTCCGTGAGTAGCACATCTCTAAGATAAGAGTGGTTGTTCCCTTAATTGTTGTATACTCAAGAAGAAGTTTTAAATAGTACGATAAAAAAACAGGGGGCCGTCTTATATGCACAACAATACAAATTTTTGACTTAAATCATGTTTGTCTTGTGCGGATCGTCTGTAACACAAAATCTACTACTGAAATGATGTTACTAACTGGTAGTATGAATTAATGCAATTTTAAATGCAGGGAAATAAAATTGATTTTGATGAACATTTAAATGCCTAAAAAGTAGTACATTATTTGAAAGATTAGCCCTACATTTGGCTCCGTTTTTTGACAGCTAGATGCAGTATTATGACCATACAGAGCAGCAAAATGTAGGAATTCAGACACACAAAAATCGTCAAAAAATATGTTCAAGATCGGGGGTCGTCTTATACTCGGATCGCCTGATATGCAAGATATATGGTACTATGTTCTGTACCATAATTCTAAGAACACCACTTTGGAAAGTTGAGTCATTTAAAAATGCTTCTACTACATAAGCAACAATGTGAAATATATCACGACGACTCAACATTGTACTTAGACTAGAATTATCCAGCCGCAGCCACACACTCGCCATAAACAGATAATTTAATATCAATCAAAAAAATTTCCTACAGCTATTCATAAACAATAGACTGCTTTCAGCCATAAGCACTGAAATGGATACAAAGTTAGGCAAATGATATGAACCACTGGTTGCACTAATGGGCCAATTAGATGATATGCCACACACTAACATCAATACATTTTGCTATGATAGCTGCATTGATCTAGAAACTTAGATACAACCAGGAAACAGCAGGGGGTCCAATGACATATAGCAGAGATGACAATTACCTCTGCATAGTTCAAAGAGAAAATAGGGAATTATCACTCAAGAAAAATTATTCTGAATTATATTAGGCCAAGTAAAAACAAAAAGTAGTTTGTCGTCCTAATATTTTGAAAAACGGGGAATGAAGGAAAACTAGTAATTTTTTTTATTTGGCCTAATATACACTTAAGTCAATGTGGGGGGATGTCTGCAGATTAAACCTCAATCCAGAAGTTGCTGATGATCACACCACATGGTCTCGCGGAATACATCTACCTTACGGGTAATGTAATGTACAGAGTGTTACAGTCTAACCCTTGCATGCTTGGAAAACAGACTCTTAACATATGATGATGATGATGATGATACAGTATCATAAAGATCCATCACAATTGATTAAGTGACAATTGCTATTTGCAGATATGAGAAGATAATCAAAAATAAATGCTTATATGATAATGAAAATAATGACATCTTTACATTTTTTTAAATTGTCATGAGATAAGCCTTAGTAGTGATAACAGTTCAGATGAAAACAAAATTTTTCCAATATTGCATTAAAAATATTTTGCTCATTTGATTTTCTTAATGCTTTATTCATCAATTATATTGAGTGAATTTTATTTTCTTAATGCATTATTCATCAATTATATTGAGTGACTCATCCCCTACTTGGTTGTACTTCGCTGCATTGTGTTTAATAAATGACAAGGTTGAAGTGCCAGTAACACATAATATACATATATAATTACATTTTAAATTTCTATAGCCTTTACTCGCTATATATTTTTCGATTTTTGTTATTTTATGTATCTGTATGTGTTGCAGAGCTCTGGAGGATAACAATGCTTTTGCATGCTGATGATCGCAATAAATGCACATTGGTTAATAACATAATACTTTTGAAAAACATTTCAAAACAGAATATGTCTCTAATAAACGTTGCTATGCTTACTTCAAATCAGCGCCTAGCAAATAGTGATGCTTTTTGTTTGTGTGTTTGTCTGTCGGACAAGGTTATTTTGTAATTGTAAGCAGGTTTTATCATTTTTTTTAGCTAATCTTTTCTGTGATTTAGAGGGTATTTACATAAGTCAAGATTCTAGTCATTGTTATCTCTGATATATGCACCTTTTAACAATATGAATATTATATCAGGATAACATAAATAATTTATGGTGGATTGATTTAACTTACCAGTGGGGTTTCATTCCCACCAACCAAGCTCACTCCAAAGTCTTCATCTGTATTTCTTCGTATCTCAATGGTTGTTAAACCACCGGTCTTTATTGCAACTACGCCTTAATTATGAAAGAAAGAAACAAAGATGATTATGGCACTATAAAAGACCATTATTATTTTTGTATGTCATCACAAGCCATTTCAAAACTTACTGAGAAAATTACTGTACAAAAAAAAAATCTGTAATGGTAGGCTTCACCTTCAGTGTAATTTTTAAAAGTATACAATAATGGACCATTAGTGCACTTAAAATAGACATGAGCAGTTGGCTATGGTTAAGATTATACCAAATACTAAGAAGACAGCCCCAAGGATGTTTGACAATATAGTCCATTCTTTGGGTTCTTGATGGAATCATGTACACAATACTAAACAATTTTAAATTAGATGGCCTCCAACTCAAATCCAAAAATATCGATGGCGGTCTAACAATAGACTTTAATAACTACAACTCATTATAAGCACAATGCTATCAGCAGTGGAAGTTATTTATGATATTTCCCAGTCAGCATATTTTAGGTAATGAATGAAGCTTATTCATTACTACAAGTTTCCGCTTGGCTTTTAAATACAAATGGTCTTAAATCAAAGTTCATGGCCAGGATTTAGTTCATATTGCCCCGGGGTAAAGTAGCACTAAAAAGGGTAAGAAGTCAACATGGGCCTACATTATGTTAAGTAGGTGTAGTTGGCCTAGATATTGTACTTTCAACAACTAAGGTAACATCCACAACTATAAATAGTTAACTATTAGGCTTCTTCAGTTGTATTATCATAAATGTCAAACAGAAATTAACAACCACAACAATCAATATGATAACTTAGAGTGCCAATGTACTTTATATACATGAAAGTACTGTGTGTGAAATTTGTACCACAAATGCATCAACGGATTTCAATGTTCTTACATCATACGTACATTGGTAGTTTACCATTAGGCTACACTATTAAGCTATACTATTAGGCTACACGTACAGTATCAACTTACCCTTTTGTTTAGCATGTGGACACTCTCTAATATGCGATTCAAGCGCCGTCCTTGAACCCCGAAATGTGCAGCCATGTGCAGCGTGTATGCAGTGTGACATGTTACCTTTACATCGATTTGCTAAATGCGCCTCCAGATCCGACCGCTGCATCGCATCATCGCAATATGTTGTGTTTGGACAGACAACTGGTAGTTTGTCTAACATTCTGAAGGAGATTTTAAAGACAATAATATTAAAAAAAACTTTATTTTCTATTAAATATTTTTTTATTCCGAAGAAAAATACAATTCGAAAATAGAACAAAATGAGCTGTTTCCAAAGTGGTTCAGAAATACTAAAAAAACTACAAAAGAAAATTATGATATTGAAAGTTAAGAATTTTTATTGAAAAAAAATATTTTAAATGAATATTATAGTGTCATTGCCAAGTGAATGGGATTATGGATATTAAAATGTTGTGTACAGTAGTATAGGAAGCAAAGTACAACATGTTCTATTTTGTACAGTATGTTTTATCAAATGACTGGGGTATTGTGATGTTCCTAAGACCAACATATTATTACTGTATAAATTTAAATAAATATGAACACTGAAAGGACATTTGATAAATTTGCAAAAGACCCGCAAGTCTCCGGTTTTAAAAAATACAATTTCATTTTCAATTTTTCTGAATTATATACAATACAAACTGGCTTCAGTTGCATAAGTTGTTCACCGTATATGTAATAATCAATGAGTGTTTTGTTGATGGAATTTGATACCATTTTTTATTCTTGCATACCAAGCTCAGGACTGGCTTTGTTTCAGAACACTTTATATTTTTCAAGCTTGCTTAGCAATCAACTCTCCCAGAAGAGGACTGCAGGTGGCCTGCCAAAAAAACATTTTTCTCCCTCTTTATGGGGCGTCTTCGGCTACAGCTCCATGGGCTAGCTGAAACCTACAAAGACCTGGTTTTGGTGTGTAGTTGTACAAAGGGTGTAATTTCCATCCTGGTCTAGATTGGAGTTCAATGACAGGGTAGGAATGACTTACATTGTTAACCCAGCAGGTTATTCAATATCTAAGATAAACAGCCTCATTGGTCTTCTATTGTCTTTTAGCAACCAATATCCCCTTATTATATTATGGGAATCGCCCGCAGCTAAATTAAACGCCTTTTTCTGCTCAGTCTACTGTTGAATTCAATTGTACTTTTGGCATGTTCGGACCCAGCACAGAAAGATTTAATCATATTACACAAACTGCACACAATTAAGGTTAATCTTCCAGGGTTTTCAAAACCCTGTGTACAGATTTAAAAGAAAAGGGTTGTTCTATAGTACCAAAGTACATGCAATGTATGTGAATGATGTCTGGATTGTTATTGATCATAACAATGACTGAGGTCACACAGAGCTAGGATGATTACAAGTTTTGGTCAACTTTACATTAGCTTTTATACAAACATGATCCGAGTTCACATAACACCAATTGTAAAACTACTGCAGTCTTGGTATTTACTGTAGGTAAACTAGTCTTTGGTTTCATCAAATAAAGAATAAGTGTTTACTCAGGATAGATGGGACTTGGCTTCAAAATAAGCAGAGCAAGTTCATCTAAACAGCTGCCATTGAATCTGGTTTCCTTTCCTGGGCTTTTTCATGCTATGCTTAACTTCAAATATGCGAATCAATATTGAATAAAATTAATCCGTTTATAAACAACATAGTTTTCCCCTAAGCTCTTTTTTAGCGTATACTGTAATTCTTATACTAGTGTCACCCAAAGTTAACTGTGTTTGTCTGTTTACTGAAAACTATACCTATCAACTATATTAACTATACCTAAATATATGTCTATTGTTCATGTACAGCATACAAAAATTGCCAGCAAATGATTGTGAAGCAAAGTTTATCACAATAAATAATTTTTTTTTTCAAAAATTTGACATGAGCAGATTTAAAAAAATTAAAACAGAGATAAACCCTTGACTTAATCATTTGTTGCAATGCTTATTTGCATGTCCAGTCTGACTATTGTACTAAATAATGTGCATGGCGGCTGGGTGGATCTTTTGCACTCGATCGTACGAATATTAAATTATACAATTAAAGTAATAAATACAACCAATGGAATAAAATCAATAATATAAGGTATATAAGATTCCATATTGAGTTAGGGTTTGGCCCAAGATACAGTATGATGTTATTGTTATTGATCAATGATGAATCACCATACTTTATTGTACAGACAGACAATATTATTAAGGATTAAATTCAATGCCATCCTTTATACTGTATAGTAGGTATGAGCTCAGGTATATAAATAATCAATAATCTAATGTCAAGTTGCGTTATCAATATGGCAATTTAATTAAACTGAAAATAGCCTAGCACTCAACACCTTAAATTCCATTCATTCATGACAATTTGGTTTTTAAGGGCTGTGTTCCTTATCACGAACAAGATCTATGGTGATGGAATGCCTTCTGTGTACTCCAGCAAATCATGGAGTTATAAAATAATTATAACTCCATGAGCAAATGCAGATACTTTACTATAAAATCAGCAAAGTATAACAGATAATATCACTTAGCCTTTGGTATGTGAACATCAATGATTTAGGTACAGTAAGTGGTAAAGGGCTGGTGTCCCCGACAAGAATAAAGTGGACGTGGTCGGGTGTCACCAAAAACCTTTCCAGTAGGGGACGTAGCACCCCTGTCTCTTATACACATCTAGATGTGTATAAGAGACAGGTTTTAAACGCTTATTTAATCGATTTTAGAGTTTATTAATATGTACAAAATACATATATTTTTTTCAATTTTTTTTTTCTCCCCGACGCATTGTGGTTTTTTTCCCCCCGACAGGGGGGCTGTAGCCTTGCCTGGCCTCCTGCCCACATACAGTGTACTAGTTATACAATTTGGAGGAGGGAGATAAATGTAGTGATTGCCTTGTCAACAATTTGAACTCTCGACCTTTAAGCCTAAACATGCCACCGCTACACAAAACCTCAATGGTTAAATTTTCTCAGAACAAAAACATTCCAAATTTCTTAAAGATTCAAAATTCAAACACAAAAGTAGGTACTTAAAGCAGCTTTATTTGTCATGGTTATTTCTTCATCAAAGAGTTCGAGTGACAGATGGTTTGTGATATGAAAGAGGTCTGAGGATTTCTACCCACTACAAACGTACTAATTAAATACTTAGTATTATTATTAACTCTCTTTAAAGAGTATTACATCACCTTGTTGCCAGAATCAAGTTATAGAAAGCCTAGACAAGCATTAATAGGTCATTACTAGGCCATGGCCATGGTGTAATGCCCTGTCCATATTTTATTTGACAAAATGTGAAAAGCCTAAATATGGTCATGATGACATCACACCATGACCATATATATGTACATCATGACTATATATGGGCATACAAGCTTTTTGTCAAAATAAAATTTGATAGTCTGGACAAAGCAAATTAGTAATGTTATTTTCAAAAATATTTTTTGGACTAAATACAAAGACAAGATCCTGAAATCTTTGTAACAAATAGAAAAATGACAACTTTCAAGTGTAGATGCTTACCTTTTAATTATCAAACTGGACGGACGACAATCTTGTGCTGTGAGAGGTGATCTGTCCACAGGGCATTGACGATGCACTCGTAACACACTCCTGATACACTTCGCACAGTATGTATGCCCACATGTCGTGTCCGTGGGGTTGACAAGGGGCTGCAAGCATATGTGACAAGTAAGGTCTTCATCGACTGCTTCTAGATAGTCATAAAGATGGTTGCCTTGAATATCGTGGACTTGCCCGCAAGTCTGGCACAAAACGGTTTGGTTCGGTTTCGCCATAACCCCAAAACAGCTCATCTTCAGCAGGAAGTTTTAGGGATAATAAAATGCATTTCGATATAGCTCTGAAATACTGTACTATGGCCTGATAAAAAAAAACAATCAAAATCCTTCTCATAAGCAATATAAAGAACATTTTAGGTTAATACCATGCACTTGTATGGAGTCAATAATTCTATCTACCCATTATAGGTATTATGGTCAACTGTTGAGATCAAAACGAAGATAACATTGTGACAATGTGTGTGCACTTTATATGAATACTATTACTGTAGCCTGAATTGTGCAGTTACTATTTATCTTGAATAAGGAGGTGGATATACAGTCGAGTACAGTGTGTGTTTGTATAGAAAATCTTACCATTAGCTGAAACAGCAAAATTAAATTAAATGGGAAGAAGAACAAGACTGCAGGGAAACAATCCAGGCACTGTACCTGTTTGCTGGAGTCAATGTCATTTTTATCTTGTCTTAATGAGCTAGCACACAGTATAATGGCCAACTTTAATGATGTCAAGGAAGATTATACAGCAAGCAGAATTTGTAGATTTAGGGTTCAAAATATTAATTGCTTTGTTGTTATAACACTGTATATGTCCAACCAAGTAAAGTATGGTTTCGCATGCAGTAGAGAAAATAAAATACTTACAGCAGGCTATTCAACAAATTATACATCGGTAATAAGTTATTAAGATTTGAAAATCAATGGATTCGGCTGACTAAATCTTATGGGAATAATTTGTTATTTTGATAGTCAATCAATTGACTGTGCATTTCACACTCGCCATAGGCACTAAGGATCACATGAAAACAATATTATAATCGATGCACAGTAGACTGGGAATAAATATAATGTTTGATGCTGTATCTTGTTTACTGGTTATTGTAGTTGCTAATTAAGCATTAATGCATGAACTAGCATCTAATTTCAATGAAAGGCTGAATACATTTATACACATACTGACTGTAATTAATACAAATACTTTCTACAGGGTTTTCTGGATGCTTGTCTGTTTACATATTTGAGAAAAGTACTGTACTGTATATATATAGACAAAGAAAGTGCTCAAAAACTTGCACAGGGAAAAAGAAAAATGGTTTTGTTTCCTATAGGTAAAAATTATAAATATAATTTTCTACAAACAGCTTGGAAAGTAGTTTAAGCTTATCACAGCGTGAATCACAGAAAATTATATCAGCTAGTGTAAAGCAGTTTAGTAAATTACTAATCATTTAAATCTGCGTATAATGTAGGTGAGAATAATCACAAAAGCTAGCACGTTTAAAGACCAGATGAGGCCTAAATACCAACCTGAGAAATTTTCAAATACTTTCAGCTCCAATAATCAGCTTTGTTTTAAGTTAAACTCTGCATAAATTAGGCGTGAAGAATGGCTGTAGTTTGCTAATCTTATTTACTTGATGAACAGCTTCTATGAAACAGGACGCAGCTAATTTGTTTACAGCTATGGGTCCTACAGTGCTTGAGGATTATGTATCTTTAAATTCTTTCAAGTTCAGATACAAAGTCAGCTGTAAAATGAAAACAAAATGAATTACAGTATTCAAATCAAATGAATAAAAACAAGTTGAAAAATGCACAATAAAATAACAGTACTTGTTTGTACACAATAGGGCAATGAGGATAAAATTAACTTTAAAGATGTTTTTACACCTTATTGAGTTTAACTATATTTTTAAAGGTCTTCACAAAGGGCAGAAACCATGATTTCTCATTTACCAGCATTTTTTTGCCAAAGGCATCTACTGTATGTAGGCGGAAGAAAATGTAAATTATAAATTTTATTGATGAATAACATATTTGTAGTGTGGGAGGAAAATAAAGTACAGGTAAAGTACTGTACCAGGACCTCACTTGATAATATTCTATTGCGTGGTTGTATGAAGAAAGTGATGTCAATCAGTTATCAGATAAACAACTTACTGTATTCATTAAATTATAATAAGAAAGTAACATAGAATTATTAACTAGATAGAGAAGTAGTAGGCGCAATACATTTTTTAAGAGTTAATTTTTCCTGAAATTTTACATCCTTCAGGTGGCAGGTGTGCTAAAGGCCAATAAAGTGAAAAAAAAAAAAGAAAGTTATAGTTATAGTCTTATCTTCATGACATACAGTTTGTATTTCAACAAAGGAAATTTAACATAATTATGCAGAATATAACATGATTAAAAAGCATTTTTAAGCACACAATCAGAGTAGTCAATCTAGGTTGTCTGATATGTTCCCAACAGCAAGTACACCCAACAGACTGATGCACTGATAAGTCTTCCAGCGGGCCTAAAGCGAATGTAGGTAAGAATGGCCCCGGAAAAAATGGCCCCAATTTACTTGATCTTGAGAATGGTTCCAAGATGGACCCGAAACGTCGATCTTTCTTGTCATTAAATTTTGTTTTGAGATTATGTTCTTAATTGATTTAATAAATAAAAGCCACAAATAATAATTTGATTTACTAAATTTCATTATGTAAAAATAGTTATAGCTAATTTGTTTACAGCTATGGGTCCTACAGTGCTTGAGGATTATGTATCTTTAAATTCTTTCAAGTTCAGATACAAAGTCAGCTGTAAAATGAAAACAAAATGAATTACAGTATTCAAATCAAATTAATAAAAACGAGTTGAAAAATGCACAATAAAATAACAGTACTTGTTTGTACTGTACACAATGGGGCAATGAGGATCAAATTAACTTTAAAGATGTTTTTACACCTTACTCAGTTTAACTATATTTTTAAAGGTCTTCACAAAGGGCAGAAACCATGATTTCTCATTTACCAGCATTGTTTTGCCAAAGGCATCTACTGTATGTAGGCGGAAGAAAATGTAAAATATAAATTTTATTGATGAATAACATATTTATAGTGTGGGAGGAAAATAAAGTACAGGTAAAGTACTGTCCTCACTTGATAATATTCTATTGCGTGGTTGTATGAAGAAAGTGATGTCAATCAGTTATCAGATAAACAACTTACTGTATTCATTAAATTATAATAAGAAAGTAACATAGAATTATTAACTAGATAGAAGTAGTAGGCGCAATACATTTTTTAAGAGTTAATTTTTCCTGAAATTTTACATCCTTCATGGTGGCAGGTGTGCTAAAGGCCAATAAAGTGAAAAAAAAAGAAAGTTATAGTTATAGTCTTATCTTCATGACATACAGTTTGTATTTCAACAAAGGAAATTTAACATAATTATGCAGAATATAACATGATTAAAAAGCATTTTTAAGCACACAATCAGAGTAGTCAATCTAGGTTGTCTGATATGTTCCCAACAGCAAGTACACCCAACAGACTGATGCACTGATAAGTCTTCCAGCGGGCCTAAAGCAATGCATGGTTTTATTAAGTTAAGCATGCTGGTAATTTCTAACATAAACAAAACACACCGCAAATGTTTATGTTCAACTGGCAGGCACTCAACAATTAGTTTACAGTAATTGAAAACAATTCAGTCAATGCACTAGAAGTGCTTTTAAAAAATCTGTTGCAATTAACCTTAAAAAATTGCATAATATCAATCGTGGGAAATTCTCCACTCAGTACTAAAAATATGTAGAAACAGTACAGACAATAAAAAAAAGTATTTTAGAGTTTCCTGCTCAATCAAATGGGGTAGTGACCTACCTCTGTAGGTTGAATGATCCCATTGCTTAAAAATCCATTCAATTTTTAACAAAATGCTTTGTTGTTTATCTGATATTATGGTACTGGTGTGGTGTGTAAAGTCATATTATATAAATAGAATCACTGGATTACAGTACACCATGATTAAATTGTGTCAATAGAGGCAAGTCCATACAAGTCCTGAGATCATTGCCTCCCAACAGGGGTCTGCTAAGGAGCCAGAACAGAGGCTAAATATTTTAACAAAATGATCGACCTTGTAACATGATTGAAACTTGTTGAGATTCACTGATATGGAGTGTTTGCCTACAGCAAGATGGCTGACAGTAACGATGGTGTCTAGGGCAAGCAGGAAAATTTCCCATGAGTTTTTCGAGTCTAATTTCTTACTTCATGTAGACATACCTAGATGTCAATTATAGTGCATTCTTCCGCTGACACATACCAACGAAATGCCTCTATTTAACATTGTCTAATTTACAGCCATCATTTAATCAATTCCATATGAAATGGCTTGAAAAGCTATGAATTATTATTTCAGACTCAAATGAAAATTGAATGTGGGGTCTACAGAACCCTACCATATTGAAGTCATTCTTTAAGTTCTGTACCTTTTTAGCAATTTGGAAAAACCAACATTTTGTTTTCAATTATAATGATGCAATGTATGTTTACTAAAATTTGTATAGCTTTGTTAAGTCGTTCTTTAGATTCTGAACTTTTTTAGCAATTTGGAAAAACCAATATTTTGTTTTAAATTACAGTATGATGATGAAATGTATTGGTTTACTAAAATTTATAAAGCTTTGTAAAATCATTAAGTTCTGAAATTTTTTAGCAAATTCTGAAAAACCAACGTTTTGTGTTTAATCATGATGATGTAATATTATGCAGACTCCAAAAAAGACAAAGAGAAGCTATGTACTGATTCAATATTTCGTTCTTTATCCGAACATCATCAGGAATGAAAATAATTTTGTCCATAACTAACCAATCAAAAGCAAGAAACTGGTAAAATTGACCAATCAATTCAAACAAAGTGTGACATATTATCAAAGATTTAACAACATACCTTAAAACAAAATCAATCTTGATAAAGTGTAAACCCATTGTTAATATAAATAAATAAATAAATAAATAAACTAGATATTAATGGCTAGTTGAACAATGCAAGTTCTTTGGATGCTTTTAATCTGGTATTTAAAACATGGTTTATAGCACCTAATAGCCAGGGCTTCTTTATACTATTCAGACTAATGTCTGGAAAAGTCAATAGTTTGGATATTAAAGAATGATAATTAGAACCCTGAGCATCACCATAATCACCATTAATAGGTAAATTATGCATGGCTAGGATATGTTGAAAACCATCACACGAACCTATGTGGTCAAATATAACACTATCAGGTCCTGTTGAATGTTATTTCATTTTAATTGTTAGACATCTGTCTTTTTTCCCAATATAATCTTTATTGCAGCCAGGACATTTGAAATGGTAGACAACAGAACTACGGTAAGTCTTTAGTTGAAACAAAGTTTAAAATTTTTGCTGCCGTCACTCTGCTACGTATACTACCGCATAACAAAGAAAGCGACACATGCGGTGCATTCTTAAATTTTACACACATTATCTAAATGTATTTTACGTATTAAACGATAACACGATATCATCGATTAAACGATCTACCACCCTCGCATCGCAGTAACTACTGTACTATACTAGGCCTAGGCCCCATGTTTTTGTGGAAAGCCTAAGTTAGATAGACGTTATGTACCAGACAGTCGGCTGCCTTAATATCTTTACTTGTCTTCAGTTTGCATTCAAAGGGTACACTGCTGCATAGCCAACTGTCGGGGATAGCACCTTCATATGACTACTCATACAACAGAAAAAAAACATCGCATGGAGGTAGCAAAAAATGGAGATCTAAATGAAAAAACGATGTATTTCAGCAAGTATTACTATAAAACCCTTTTTTTATTTTAGGCCTTTTTTCAAAATGCCTATGCCTACAGCAGTTGAATTTTTTTTGCCGCAAAACCAAAATAGTTGCATTCATGCCGACTTGCCGATCGGTTAGCGTGAACCCTGACTGAACACTGCAGAAACTTCGAACTTCGCATCGCGAGGAAAAACAAAATGTCAGAAAACTTTTTTTTTACGCATGCGCATTTGCATAAATGTCTACACACACACTACACACAGAGAAAACAGTGAAAAGTGATCACAATAGTTCCTATTGCATTACATGCATAGGAACTAAAAAACGAACAAAAACAAAAGCAAATTTAATCATGGAGGAATTCCTCTATGATTTAACCAAAGAGCATATCCACATCATATAAGCCCCAACCCTAGAAAAAGATAAGTAGTACAATCATGGAGGTAAACAACAGACAGGAAAAGTAGTCTTATCATAAAGTAGAATTAGAGCCAACTTGAAAGCCATCCCCTGTCCATCGATACCCCATTTGAGTTTGTCGGATTAAAAAAAAAGTAATAACTGAACCAGTTTGAATTATTGAAACCAGTCTGTAGCATCAAGCATTTATCAAGTAAATGGTTTAAATTGTGAAAGAAAGTAGGCACGGGAAGTCAATCAACAAATCCTATTCGACTGTAACTCTATTCATGAGGAGTCTTAGATCTCAAATGTTAATTTTAATACATAATACCTCCATGCTCTTGTTGATTGTGGAATCTGAATGCCTCAAGAAATGTGTCAAGTCTCCAATGAAAAACATTGTCTTTGAAACCTAAGTCTGCATATATTATTTCTTCTTGTGGAATGGCAGCTGGGAAAATGCAGGATTCTACATTCACATGTATCAGTTTATAATGGAGTTAAATTTAAAAAGGATATAGTACTGTAGAGTTGAATAGCTTGGCGGTTAAGATGCTTGCCTTCCAATCCCAGAATCAGATTTTTTTTCTCACGACCAAAACAACTCCACTCCCTAAGCCTCATAATGAGATTTAGTTTATGTAGAGCATGTGAAGGGATAGGCCGTGCTGTCTGGCATCCTCAGGCTTAAAATTTTCAATTTTGGGCTTAATTTTCAAAGTTACAGATTTGATTTATTAATCATAGATTATATATACTATCATATTTTCTATAGAATGTCTAGTTATGGATTCTGAAAATATGACGACTTTTTATGATGGATTACAGAATAACATATGCCTGGCACAATAAAACTTTTAAAAATATTTTAAACTAAACAAAGCATCTAAAAGTTACTTTCGAATTTATATTCACAAAGTGCACTTGCTCTGCTAATAATAAGCTAAAAAACATTCCACTAATTAGTAATATTTAAGGTCCTCAGAAAATAAAATTTAATTAAAATTAGGATAAAATTGATTTTATAAAAAGACAAAAAATGAAATAATGTTTAAAAATAGTAATTGTTGCATCAGGTCAGTAAAGTAATGGAAATAATTAAATCAAACATCATAAAATCCATTATGTGTACACTCTTCAACAAAGAATAAACATGCAAAAACAATTAAATCAGACAGCGTAGGAGAAGATGAAAATACCACATGCCACATTAAAAATTTGATATGGTTATCATCAGTGTAGAAACCTCCATAACAAAAGAAAATTGCAATATAATCTATTCCAGATGAATTCTGATTGATCTAGCTACTGTATTCTACAAATGAAAACAACCAGATAAAAACCACACACTTGCACAAAGCTAGCACCTCATGAATAATCAAACAAAGACTATTGTCTCTGGCTTCTTATCTAGGCTACTAATGACAGAGAGGAGAGGGTTTATGGAGAGATAGCTTTGGCTTAACCTACTGAGACAGCTTGCTTTGGCCAGTTCACCTTACTACCAGCTTGTTGTGGGTGTACCATTCTGACTGCCTGCATGTGTAATACATATTACCACGGATGGTTGATCTCAACAATGAATAATTGGAATATATTGATTGTGATGGCTGTTGTGAAATGGACGACATCAGCGTCAGGTCTCCAGTGTGCATTAACAGACACCACAATGATTATTCATATTAGTACTACTATGGAAACAAAGCCTGAATATTGCTGTAACAAGTGCAAAAAATATTGACTAGGCAACAGCCTCCCTGGGTTCAATTCAAGGTGTTAATACCATCATGAGTTCCTAGAATTTGTACCATTAAAGATTTAATCAACATTTAAAATATTAAAATTCCTGACAGTATGCCTACATCAAACAATTTTATTACGATCAACCTTTATTTTCAAGATACATCTAAATAATAAATTAATATTTTTAAGTTTTAATCAATATTAAGAAACAACTGATTGATACCTAATCTTTTTTGTGTTTATTTTTGAATTTGGCAAAAAAATTGCTCAAATAATTAATCAAAGTTAAACATTTATGTACTAATAGTCTGTTATACAACTTATGGAGACAAAATTTAAAATGAGGGAAGATACAAATTACAACAAAATTGATGCAAAACAGGCACAGATTTACCTCAACCTCAAAATGCAAGACGTCTAGGCATAGGCCTAGGCCTAAGTGGAAGTCCTCAAAGATAGTCTTCAGTCAGGAGGATGGCTGACAATATGCAAAACATACTTCATTTGGCATGGTTCCGCCTAGGCCTAGCCATGGCATAAATAAACTAATCCATAGACCATAGATAGTTATTATGCAGCAGAGGTTTGTTATCTTCTCCAACAATCATTTGTCTGTAACTGGAGAAGTAGGCAGGCCTACTGGACTTGATCCATTAAATAAAATAAATGAAATTTCCTTAGGAAATAAAGTGAACTAGAATAGGACTAGACTAGGATTTAATCTATTCCAAACAATGACTCCAACATGTCTGCTCTGCTGATGTATATAGAACTTGTGCCACCCTCCCTGCTCCTGTTTGCAGACATGCTACCGTACCCTACCATCTATTCTTCTCTTATTTAATTAACATATCAAATATATAATAGGCCTTATATTATATACAGAAAATAGACTTGATAGTTTGATCAAATGTCATGGCGTACCTACAGGGTAGGCTTAAGGTAGCCGGGTCTAGTCTAGGCCAGGTAGATTCCTGTCTAGAGGATAGGTCTGGGAGGGGCCTTGTCTGGCCTGGATACCTACTGCTAGCTAGGCCTACCTACACCCTAGGCTAGAGTTCTATGACAGCTGTTGGCCCTATATATTCCATCAGAAAAAAGAAAGCGTAGGTACGGTATCGATACATAATAATATAGTTGCAAGGTTCAGATGTATTTAAATACACTTTCCTGAAACAGTATATAAACTACTTACGTTTGACGCTTTTCACTGACTTAAATACAAAAACTACTCGTAACCACAAACAACCTGTCCTTATTTCTTCGTGTTCCACGAAGTTCGTCCAGCAGGATCATCCACGAAAATAAACAAAAAGTGAAAACGAGACGGGAACATAAACACGACGAACATATTCAAACATTGGCGGCGCTGTTTACGTTATTTACATCACGCTTGTGCGTTTTCTTACAAGTTGATGAATTTGATGAAACATTGAATTGAAAGAGAATTGAACACGTCCATGGCTCCAAACATTATAAGTTGACTACAAGATGATGATGTGGTGATTATATGATGATGATAATGATAATCATGTTGATGATTCAAAGAAAGTGATGATGAGATGATTAAAGTATAATGATGATAGTGGTGGCATGGTGATAAACAGAATTTTCACTCTTTCGGTCGACACTTACTGGGATTTTGGTAGTTCATTAATAATTAAAATTAGTACAAGGATCAAAATAAAGAAAGCACAAAAAAGAAAAATGATTATCAGTTTGAATGGGATAGCCTATGTTTGTAAGATACCAGCAGAAGTGGAGCTTTAATAGCGGGTCCTCTTTGTGGGCCCGCTTAATTGGTAAACAAATCGTCTGGTTTCTGCTTTTATTTTGTTATTCGGTTAGAAATTATTTCAGGCCGGGTGTAATTCATTTTTTGCATGTCGTTTTTTCTTGCACTGGTACCCGGGTACCTATTTTATTTTCCAAATTAAAAGCCTCAAGCATTTTCTAACATGTAGGCCTATGGTTCACCTAAATATCATATTTATTATTATTATTAATACTATCATCATCATCATCACCACCATCATCATTGTATTATTATTATTATTATTATTATTATTATTATTATTATTATTATTATTATTATTATTATTATTATTATTATTATTATTACATTAAGCACAAATAGGCCATACAACGAAAATGGTTGAAAAAGAGACTACTACCTGTATAGCATTCGATGAATGAATAATTTATGTTTTTGCCTTTGTTCATCGTATACGTATTGCGTAGGCCTATATGCACACATAGAAAAAGAATAGGTACACAATCTATGATAACGTCAGAGGAAAAACGATGTTTTTTGTAATATCTCACCAGCTTAAATTTTTCACAGCAAGTTAATTTTTTATTTATTAGAGTGTACTTTTCTGGTATCAAATTATTATACAGTACTTCAATATTAATATAATTCATCTGTGTTTCTGTAGTACTTTTGCTTTCAATTTGAATTAATTTAATATTTTTTTCTAGATGCACCATCAGGTATTGTCTGATGTGTGCCACTGATGCAAAGTGAATCCAATAAATATTGTATTGCATTGTATTAGTCAAAGGCAATCGGATTAATCCATCATTCCGAATTTCAGACTATCGATTGATAAGTACCCAGTGACAGGTTTACAACAAAAAAAAAGTCTTGACCAATCACAAATCATCAATAGGAAGTTTTAAATGGTTCCGCTTGTCTTGTTTTGTTTGATAGATTCTTTTGAAAGGACTAATCCTCTTCCAGCTATTTATGAATGTAAACATAGTGCATCGTTCTTTCTTTTCTTATATTATTTGACATTACATAGTGTATGCCAATTTGGCATAAAAAAATAATTAACATCCTTACGGGTATTTTGTTTGATTGTTCGTCTTTTATTTGTTTTATACACAACTGTGGTATTTATTTACGTGTAGAATGTTCACAACATCTAACTAAAAAAATCATTATTAATCATGTAGATGTAATGCATCTATTGTAAGAAATCAATTGTTAGATGATACAATAATAGGTCTAAAGGTCGGAAAGGTTTCAACTCCCTAGTATAAAATAAAATGGTCTTGTAATTATATTATAGATATAAACATAAAACTATTCAATATACACTACGCTATTTAAAACCTTAAGTAAAGATAATGGTAGTCGAACCTACAGGTCCAAAGTGCTTTTTTTTATGTGTTGGGGCAAGACTGTGCAATGCTTTGAGTGAATCATCACTCCTCAAAGCGAGTTTGTTATACCTTGCCAGCATATGATGCTGGTACCATAACCATGGGTAAGAGAGAGACAAACGTAGATAAATTGTCTTCCAAGGATACACACGCACAGGGTTGGCGCCAGGATTTGCCCGACGAGTAGTCTGACGTCCCCGACAAAAAAAAGTGGCTTATTTAATCGACTATAGAGTCTACTAATATGTAGAAAATACATATATATAGAACACACAACTTTCTATAGCATGAGTATGAGCTGTCTCTTATACACATCTAGATGTGTATAAGAGACAGCAACTTGCACAGCGCGAGTTTCAAACCCCTGACCACCACAAGGTTGAGAGTCCAAGTCTCAACCGGACCGTACGCCAAACGCTTCTTAAGTAGGCCATCTTCTACATTCCTGACAAAATAGCATTTCATTTACCAAGTTCAATAGCACCAATCATGATGTAAAGTCTCAGTCAGTGATGTAATTTTATGAGCTCGAAACATCATTCTCATTAATCTAGGCCTATTTGATATTTACAAATCGCAAAAATCTAACACTGCCATTTTCAAATCCGACGATAATACTTCGTCTATCACGTGATAGGTCAAATGAGGTTATTTTTAATGACTTATAACAGTATTTTGTAACAGCTTTGTTACTGTCCCATTCAGTGATGTGTAACATATCCTCCTGCACATGTCCTAGCAGTAATGAGTCCACCAATCTTCCATCAGATATGGATATCTGTGCATTAGGCTTGACAAATATCTTGTCATAATTTGCCTTTACTGATTTAGAGTAGACTGTATTCATTGTGTCATAGTCCAAAACCTGTATAACAGACTCCCGAGAGTTGGGAATATTTCCCGAGTTACGTACATACTTCTGATACAGCACTATTACATTGGAGCCTATGAACTCGAGTTGGTGTGCACGAGAAATACTGGTATCAAGAGAGCATTTCTTCAGAATTCGGCTGTAGCTTGGGCTCCAAATGCAGCATGACAGTGTGCCTTGAACCTCAACATCTGCAAGCATAGCGGCGGCTTTTTGGTTTTCAGATAAAGCGATAGATATCGTTGCCAGACGATTTCCATCCTTGTTCATTACTGCAGACACGATCTAGATGAGATAGAATATGTAAATTAATATTTAATAATGACTATAATGATTCAGACACAATATAATTAATCAACTGATTCAGATATGATATGATTAAACAGGCCTCTCAACAATAAACGCTCCAGGCGTTTATTAAAAATATATACGGTAATTAATCATTCAACCAATTATGAATAATTTTACTCTTTAAATATCTTCTAATACGAAAAAATATGGAGTATATGGAGAATATCAACTATTTAAATGTGTAAATTTGTTGAAGTACCTTTTGATTATCCCCATGTTTGAAGTCACGTAAATCGGATTCATATACATCAGCAGGGAAATTATCAGGAAATGATTTCCACTCGTCAACCATAGTTGATGACAACACTGTCATGCAGTACAGAACACCTGGTTTGTTGCCTGTACTGAAACACACATTCAGTCCACTGCGCATAAACTGCACGAAGAAGAAATTTGGACTTGCAAATGGAACCAATCTGCAGAAATATAAAAAATATGACTGAAGCTTTCAATACAATTAATAAAAAAAAAATGTAACAAAATAATATCATCGATAAAATATAGATTAATATCCAAAAGGGAAATTTAAGTTTTATGCAAAATTTGAACAATAACATAAAATGTAAAATATTATAAATATTACTTATGTATGCACTAATATATATTTTTTAAAAGATCACTCACCATAAACAACATGAGATAAAAATATATAAAAAACAACTAGCATAGGACAGCCTATAATATTGTTTTAATCTGATTCAATTGATACTATAAAAAGAAGGTGACAACTTACTTGTGTTTGCAATTGATAGTCATACTGTGTGCAGATGTTGTTTTAGATGCAGTATTCCATATATCAACTGCTTGATCCCCGCAAAAACCGACCACAAACATGCCATCGCTTGATATACAGCCAATACGGTTAACATCTAAGTTAACATAAAGTAAATTCACACAAAAATTTTACAGAATCTTTGATTGTCTATCGGTGTCTTAAAGGTATGTGTACTCTGCCAACAGACAAGAAGTTTCAGTCAAGAATGAAATAACTAATAGATGATATACATACGACATGATGTGTCCGATGCCAACATGCATGTAACTGTTGGAGGCGACACATTCGTTTCCCAGAAGTACACAGTCTTGTTGTCAGCAACTGTCACTGCTCTGGTGCCATCTGGTGAGAACACACAACTTTCTATAGCATGAGTATGAGCCTGCAGATCAAAAAATTAAAACACTCTAAATACTCAATTGTTTAAGTTGCTTTAATATAGAACTTAATAGATATCTTCACCGTTTCCCGTCTATACTTTCCTCTAATAAAATGTTAATATTTTCGATTATCACTTACGATAGCTCGTGCAAAATTTTCAGTTGATAGGTCACGTGAATCCCAGATCCTGACAGATTGGTCCTCACTTCCGGTTGCGACCATAGTGGTGTCATCTTGAGATCTTTCAAATGAGCAAGAGATAACCGGTCCTGTGTGACCCTTTAAGTATGTCCATGTTGCACCATTTTTTTGGAACTTCAAAATCTTCAAAGAAATAAATGAAAGATAGGCCTAATAATTTTAGGGAAGTTCATGTAGATGAACAAAAGTAATTATTGGTTTATCCAGGTAAGTACAGTATTTACGAAATATACAATAATTATTCCACGTTATAAATGCGTTGTGGCAGTAAATGTCACTAATAAGTACAATAAATGTTTGAGTGATGTTTTAAATGTTAAATTACTACAACATAATATTGCTTTTTATATAGAAATGTGTAGTAGCAAGTTGCTGTTCTCCCGCCAGGTCTAGTTTGATTTAAAAATCAGGTCTCATTATGACCTGCTTTTAGTAGTGTGAAAAAATCTTGTTTTTTACATAATTCCTGCCCTAAACTCTGAAGTTTCAAAGGCAAGCGGACGTACCCGTAAAGTTGACTCTCCGTTCATGGAAGCCACATAGTCCAAATTAGGTGAGAAAACCACTTCGCCTTGCATACAGTTTAACGATAACTTATTGCCAATTGGTTCTGGATTTTTTCCAGTAGTGTTCCACCGGTATGTTCCATTTGGCAGAATACCTAAAACACGTTTGCTGTCTGATGAAAACGCTAAAAAGCTCCCGGTGAGGTTAGTACTTAGACCATTAGCGCCAAAAGTTTTCACTTCCTGTGTCAAAATGAAATAATAAATATCAATCGACAAACCCTAAACCAATTTCTTGCAGACTTATGTAAAAACATCAATAGGGTGAAATATGATTTTTCTTAGCACAAACCTCTTCCTTGGAAATATCCCATAAAAACACTGTCTTGTTTGCCAATGCCAGCCATTTACCATTTGGAGAGAAAGCAACGTGTTTTGGTCGACACTTAAACAAAGAAAAACAATTTAGTGTCAGGTGAGGTAGTTTCTTTCATCAAATGAAATGAACAATGTTGATTTATGAACAACTAAATGACAGAAAAACTTATGTATAAACTTGTGTGTTTGTGGGAAATTTGCGTATTCCAGACTTAGTTTCATTTGACCAATTGCTAAGTTTGCCTATCTGGATAGTTTCATTAAGAAACTATCTTTATAATCGATTCTTCATATAAAAACTTTAGGTAATAAATATATACAGCTTTTCAAAATGTGAGCTGTAGTATTTCTAAATTTTCCCTCTCTACCTTAAGTTCTTTCTTTTGGATAAGTCTTCCTGATGGAAAACCATATGTGCTCAAGCGACCATATGATACAACTTGTATTGCCTTGCAGGACTTGGGAATAAAAATGGCTGCCAGATGGTCCATCTCGATTTCGACACGCATCACCTTTTTTCCTGAGGGAAAACAAATGTAGCTATTATTCGTTCCAAAAATATTTGACAAATATGCAATCCACAATCTTACATCATTTCTAATATGTTCAATTATTTATGAATGTAGAGTCAAAACTATTGATAGAATCTTTACCTTTTGGAAAGCCGCCTGTACCTAATCCATATATAGAAATTCCATTTCTTGTCAAACAACAAACCCAATGACAATTGCTGGGAAATTCAATTTTCAAAGCACCACATTCTAATGTCATCTCAAGTGCTCCACTCGCTACCTAAAAATGGAAACCACTATCATCACTGTCTAAATTAACTTAACTCATGGACTTTCAAACTTAAATAGATATGGAAGTTATTAACTGTGAATTGAAAAAGAAAATAATTAAATAATTTGATTGCTATAGTTATTATGCTTTCGTTACTCATGTTATATGTTATATTTTACCAACGGGAAGTATAACAAATTAAAGAAATAAAACATACACATAAAATACTTGTAAAAAATGTAGGTGTACGTGTATTTAGTGTTTTTATTAACAATATTTTTGTAAATTTCTCTATTCCATTTCATACTGTAATATTATTAATCAATTTGTAATTTCTCGCAATATATTTGTAAATTTCTCTTTTCCATTTTATACTGTAATGTTATTTATCAATTTATCTTTCACTTGTTTATATTTTTCTATATATTTATATGTATTATAAGACATCCTGTAATTGGCTTCCGCTGTTGGATGATTTTCGAAATAAAAAAATAAAAATAAAAATAAAAACTATAATTCTTGATGTATATAACGCCATAGTGTTTAGTGTAGACATGGTAGAGATATTTCCTATCTAATAATTATCTTATACTTACTCTCCATACTCTTAACGTTTCATCTTGACTGACAGTTGCTAGGTACTTTGCTGATGGAGAAAATTTGCATAATTTGACTGCTGATGTATGCTGTAGAGTCATAACCTCTGGGTTGACACTTTGATTCTTGGTCAAATCAAGTAAGCAACTCACTGAAAACAAGGAATGGTATGATGTTGTCAATTTATAGGCTTATTTTATTTATTAGCATCCTTTAAGTATAAGTGATAGTTCATTGAATTATGAGATGCCTGTTATTCAATTTATATAAATAAGTATACTTCTTATATTTTAAATAGAAATCACAAGAACTTAATGATCTTAACTTAATATTATTAAGAAATGCACATTTTTAGATAACTAGATACTATTCCACAGATTGTTCAACTATTTAAAAGTTAAAAACATAATTTTGAAGAAATTGAGATAAATTGTACTAATATCTCTAAAGAAACTAAAGTAATCAATTACCGGTAAAACTGTTTCAGATCTTAAAGTAAACGTTTTCTTCTTCTTTGGAAGCACACACACACTTAGTATACATTTGGTTTAACAGTTCTAGTTTTGAAGGTATTTTTATCATTCTAATTTAATTTATTGCCTGCTTAAATTTATATCTCTCCCATTCTCAAAATCAGTCCTATCAGAAAAGTGTAATAGTGTTGATAATTACTTTTCTTGCTTCTTTCCTTGATGAAGTTCATAGCAACATTCATGCATACAGAAGAGTCTGGTTCATTTAGAGCCTGTTGACAAATCAGCTCTGGGTGTAATTGAAGTGTGTGGATATTAGCACGGACAAGTCGATAGAAGTCACGCAGAATCTGACTATGTTCTGCCTTTGCGGAAGCCTGGTCGATAAAGAACATAATTGAAGTAACTTGAATAGGCTTTCATGGCAGTGGTACTTGTGTATTAGCTATAAGAGCTTTGTGGTTCAATTATATCAATGTGCAAAGACATGTTGATTTACAATTTTTAAAAGCGCGTATTGGTGTCTCACCTCTGCCAACTCCAAAACTAGCTGGTAACATCTTCCAGTTTTGCACTTAGCACGAATCCATTGAATTGTACAGAGTTCCTGATTGAAAACAATGTTTATTATGTATTAATTTAATAAATGTAGTACAGTAAATTATTGTACATTATAATATTGAAAGTGAATAAAAGCAGATGTCAAATGGTTGATAAGCTGAATTGAAGCTGTAAAAATCAAAATTTTTCATCAATATCAACATTTGATGCATTCACACAATAATGTAGGCCTACCTTTTCGCAATCTTGCCACATTCCTGCTCTAATAAGATGGAATGGTAGTTCAGTCAGTTTCCTCAAGTTGTATCGTTCATTGTTGTCCATTTCCCCCTTCCTGTTCACCAATACTAGAGGCTGGGGAGGCAGACGGCGGTTTGCTATGTTCATTTCATTTGTTTTCTTGTCTCGGTATGGTTTAGGAACATCGGCCCATCTGTGAAGATTAACATGTGTATTCTTTGTACTCAGTTAATATAAATCAAAATTGCTGTTAACACAGTTAAATTATATCTTGTATTTATTATACACATAATCTATAATTTTACCTCCCAATAAAATAATGCGCAAGAGATTGATGAAGGAACTCTTCGTTGTCTGTCAAATAACGCTGCCTAGCAACTTCATGGAAGATACGATGATACCATCGGTAAACCACAACATCATCAGCACCACCTTCAACAAGGTAAGAACCTGAAGGAGAAATAATAGAAATGAAAGGTTATCAGTTGTAAAGCCTTGTTCTACGTAATTTGCCGTAGCTCAATCTTAATTGTTTAATAATGCCTAGAATACGATCAAACAACCAATTTATAGACAAACCAAGGTCTAATCTTAAACGAGTCCATAATAATGATGGGAGTCTTCTGATTGGTGGGATATGAAACTCAAAGCAGTCATCCAACACAGTTTCATCACATGATAATACATCTAGGAGTTCATTGGCTGATAGACCAGTCTTTGCAGCAGTAATGTATCCTAGAGCCTCTCTCACTAATGTCTGTCCATGGCTTTCCTCTAATCTGCAAAGAAACAATTAAAAGAACATAAAACATGCAGACAAATGAATACATATCTTATTAATATTTCTGAATGCAATCTTAGATTTAGATTCAATTTATTCAAGTCCAATAAAATAGAAATAACATGAGTACATTTCATTAAATATTTAAAATACTTTATATATAAAAATAAAATAAAAAATGCAGTACAAATCTCTCAATAAAAAAAAAAGGTTTTCCATTGTCCAACTTTATATCTACCCTTTATGTTATTATCTTACCATTTGAATTTTTTTGCATCCTACTTTACCGGCCAGAACCAACACCAAAACATGGAAATAAAACTTGTGATGTTAGTGTATTAGTGTATTATAGGCAACTTATAGCTTAGGCAAAATAACCAATTTACTTAAAATTAAATAGAAAACCACAAGAACTTACTCCGTAAATAGCTGATTTATAAGTCCATTGACGGTATCAGCAAGTTTGCAATGGCTCTCCTCAGTGTACGAATGCCATGATTTTGCTATATCACAAGCTAGCTTCAGATACAGAGGGGTCGGCTTACCATCTCTGTGGGCACCTATAATTATTTTCTTCTGACAAGATGTTACTGTCCTAGAAAAGAAAAATAGTTACCGCCAGATGTTAAAGATTGTACAATAGTTCTATGTGCTCCTATGAATGCCAGTACAGTACAAAAGCGTGTGCGTATGTACAATTTTCGCGATGCATCACCACTAATGACAGGCAAACACCTCAAGATGTTTAATTTGATAGCCGTAGATGCATGAAAGTGCAACTGGTATTATTACGCAACTGATGCCAGTTTGTAGAAAAAACTTTATATCTTGGTACATATGCATATATAAATGTGATAGATCTAATTGATGTAAAGCTTATAATAATGACATACCGGTTACTCTTGGCAAGAAGTAGATCTATCATTGCATTGGTATCAGCTTCATCAGGTGGAAGAACCTATGGAAGTCAAAGGTGGACAATTTGAGATTACGTGACATGGAATGGATTAGATTTGTTTGAACACACAGAAAGTGCTTGGTTTTGGTTGTTTGGTAATTTTTCTTTAGAGACTATGTAAGAGTGAAAATTACCTCTAAGAAATATTCTTGGGATTTTACGACGTTTTGTGAGGCTGCAAGACACCCGCCGGCATTTGGTCTAACGGTCACAATCATGTGGACATAGTTGGGCAAGTAACATGGAAGCCAATGTAAATCACGCCCCTCATTGTCATCAGATAATTGATCCAGTGAATCAATAAAGACGACTGAAAATAAGAAAATTGTATTTCAAAATTTTCTAAATAAGGGATCGTTTTGCATAGGACTGCACCTTGGATATAAAGTGTGGCGGACTTTAAACAGCATAAACGTACAGTACATATAACTGTGTTTTTGTGGGACATGCGTGTATTCCAGGCTAACATAATTTTCTTATTGATCGGCTGTTACGCTTGGAACACTCTGGAAGGTTCTAGGCTATTATGATCACAGGCTCAATTAGGAAAATCCGTAAAGATTATTCAAGGTTAATATTCATCTATAAAATGCATATGTGTACTGACACATGGACCTTGGATAAATATACACAATTACACTATCCCTTATGTAAATGTCATATAACATAATATAAAAGCTATGAAGGTAATAACAATAAGAGGCATATTAATTAGTCCTATATCAATAATTTTTTATTATATTACGTGGAAATTTTATTGTAGGCCTAATATGTTCAAACAAGCGGTACAAAATATTCGAATAAAAGCCGCTTAGATTGCAATAAAATCGGGGAGTTCAAGCAAATTAACATCAAAACAGAAATTATAATTATCGATTTGCCTCTGCCATTATCATACCAAATGGTCTTGATGATGTGGCGTGTCCTAACATTTCTAGAAACTTCTTTTCAAGCTGTTTGTAGTCAACCGGTACGGTGCTCGGACTAAGCTTCAAAACATAGCACAGCTGCAAGAGGAAGACATTCATAATGAACATCGATATGTTACTTGTATAAATACCTGGCATAATATGAAATTACTATAATTATTACAATTGCATCGGTAGGAATAATGTGGAACTAGATATGGAAAATGTGTAGATCAATCTTTTGAACATTGTAAAATATTATATTAAATGCTGTAAACGTAGGTCTATGTTTTTTGTTTGTTTGTTAGTTTTTTTTTATCATGGTACACTAATACATTGAATAGTTGTAATATCTTAGAGGCATAGTACCAACCTGTTTACATATACTATATAATAGGTCTCGAATGTTGGAAGATTCTGGCGTGACACCGATGAAGCGGACAATATGGACAGGTCTATATAAAGATGAAAGTAAGCATTAAAAAATAGGATATGAAATAAACATTGAATAAGGTACAGTTTGCCCTCCAATTCGAGATCACTCTCGGGACCTGAAAATTTGGGGTCTTCTTGGGGTTCGGTCTTCACTAGATGGTTAGGTTTCTGTTAAAAGATTTACAAATGTTATTTGGTTTTTTTTTTTTTATTTGGTATCGAAGGGGTCTCGGAATTAGAGGAGTCTCGTTGTAAGATAGTTTGAAATATCAAATGAGTTTAGTTTACTGGGAAGCAGGAGAGATGTGTTTCTTAAAAGACATCATCCAACAAAAACAATGTAAATGCACATGTTAAGGTTTGCACCATAAAACAAATGCATAAGAAATGCAACTAAGCTGGAGCAGCTGAGCAGAAGCCTTTGACAATGCAGTTTGCTCCTAAACGGAAGAAGAATCTATTTTTAGTAATTCATTATCAATTTTATTATCTTATTTTGAACCATTGAATATGTGTGGCCTAGATTTTATAGTATCAGTGGTTATTGAATTAATGCAATGTAGAGAATTTTAATTAGTCATATATACTTATCAAAACGAGGCACTAATTAAGAAAATATAATCGGTTACGACCATGTGCTTTAAATGCAGGACCCCAATGGAAATCAGTGTTTTAACTGTTTGGGCTACACTGGGTAAACAAATGTAAATAAATAAATAAATAAAACACGATTCATAAAGCTTACGATATATCAATGTAATTTAAAAACAACAAGGTTTACCTGTTCCTGTAATTAAATCATTACATATGTGGCATACCATGAAGGTATATTCTTACCCCACCATAAATATTTACATGTAATATTCGTTTAGCCACCATATTGTTTTCATTGAACTATTTGTGTTAACTTTCCATCAAAATAATAATAATAATAATAATAATAATAATAATAGTTCAATGAGACTAATTAAAATGATTTGCGTTCTGTTATGACAAATAATCGTTTGGATATACATCGTAATAAGGGAAGGAACTTCGACCTTGACAGCGTGGTTGACAAATTTCATGCAAAATTTCCAAAATGTAGAATTTCACTTTGCAGAATGAGGATTTGAAAATACATCAGATGGTTACATTGCATACTCTTTGTTTCTTGTTTTATTCAAAGTGTTTTTTAGTTTTTGAAGCTGATTTCGACATTTAAAAACATACATGAAGTCATATTATAGTAGCTCGATGCCTATAAAATAAGGTGTATAAGAGACAGACATAGCACAGCTGCAAGAGGAAGACATTCATAATGAACATCGATATGTTACTTGTATAAATACCTGGCATAATATGAAATTACTATAATTATTACAATTGCATCGGTAGGAATAATGTGGAACTAGATATGGAAAATGTGTAGATCAATCTTTTGAACATTGTAAAATATTATATTAAATGCTGTAAACGTAGGTCTATGTTTTTTGTTTGTTTGTTAGTTTTTTTTTATCATGGTACACTAATACATTGAATAGTTGTAATATCTGTCTCTTATACACATCTAGATGTGTATAAGAGACAGGAATGGTAGTTCAGTCAGTTTTAATGAAAACGAATAGCAGCAATACCATAAGTGCTTTCAGATTAACCTGAAGGAAAATCAGAATTTATTACATGCTCTGTTATAAACTAATAGGCCTATATGCAATAAAGACACACAGATTTATCATGCCACTTTAAAAAAAAGGTGCCATTTGCTAGGCAATTTACGCTTCAGGTATCTTATAGGGAAAATATCCTAGTGTGTGTTTATTTGTTGAGTCTAAAATTGTTCGTTCACCAACGACGATGAAAAATGATCGTTCATAGACTTGTTGTACAGTAAAAAATTGTTCGGGAGGATATAATTCCTAGATTCAGATTCAATTTTATTTGTCGAATATGGAAATAGTAGTATAAGTACATTTTAAAGTCATTAAAATTTTATATATATAAGTATATAAAAAAATCCACACAGACACACATTAGTTCCATATAAATGAAATAAACATTAAAATATCTAGTAAAATACTACAATATAACCCCAAACAGACAAGCATAATAATAATACATCAAGACATAGATGGATAAGTTGTTGAATTATCAATAGACGTATGGGCTGAAAAATAATTAGAGGTGCTACAATACTGAACTTTGGTCTAGTACTCGGAGATGGTACAGAATACACAAGATTGTTACAATTAACAACCGAAAGAAGGATGTGAGGATTGATGAGACAAGCAGCACTTCGTCAGAAACTACCACACATTTAAGACACTGAGGCTTTCATAAAGTGTTCTGATGTTTTACCACTGTTTTATTGGTCTCTAAAAATTATTATTATTATGATCTTTTACTCCAAAATTGTTCAGCTTATTAGTAGTCTATTTAGATTACCAATAGGCCTATATAATTACTAATAGCATGTAAAATTATAGTAAAATAATTTTTTGATATCACCTTCCAACTGTGATTGAACCCCAACGAGTCAATGATTTACTGAAGACTTTAGCAAGAATGGACGTTTTACCACTACCTCCTACACCATGTAATACATAAGGCTGAAAGGTAATAATAATAATAATGATGATTAAAACAAATCAATAAAAGTGCAAAAACAATGATGATAACGACGATGATGATGAGATGATGATGATGACAATCATGCAAAGATTTAAATATATCCAGCATAAAACACTCGAATACTAACAAGTAAGGCCTACCACACCTACCCACTATCAATTTGAAAAAACTGTTCCCAATGGTGTAGCTAAGACTGACAATGCCAAATAATAGAGCTATAGCCCTGCTGTTACCTTTTTGCCACTTTCTTTTTTCAAGTAGTTCATCATTTCTGCTACGATTGGTTCACGTCCGGAAAACATTTCAGCTCTTTCACGTGCAAAGACGCTGTGGTTTATCACTTCAGCGTACACAGAATTTTTCATTGTAGATCTATGCTCTGCAGCTCCTGATGATTTAAGAACAACATGAACTGCAGGGACAGCGCCAGTGGGCGGGGGAGGGGTTGTGGGACAGAGCATCGGAGCCACATCGAGAAAAGTCTGGCGCCACCCCTGATATTGTTAGGCCTAATATCAGTTAAACAGTAATATATTAACAAGTACAGATACAGAGTCGAGATAATCTTTTTTCCAGGATGAAACGATGAAATAAAATTATATATTTTTGTTTTATGAAACATACGCTTTAGTATTAAGCTTCCCCATAGGTATTGCAGTTTAATGCCAATTAAACTAGTTTAAGACTACAACTTTAATTTTATTGTATAATAATATTCAATATTTACATAGCGCCTAATGTTAACAACCTCAATGCCTTTAACAACAACATGAATAGGCCTAAGGTCTGACAGTATGCTGATAAATGGTTATAATTACTTTAATTACCTTCTCTGATAGAATTTACCATGTAGTCACAAAACTTGTCACAGAATGTTCTCAAAGATTCCTTGTTCTCTTTCGTATCCTGCATCTCAGAGTTTGAAGGCTTAAAGTCTATTTTGTAACGACTCAAATTCTGTGACGGTAAGCTGTCCCAAATCTTGGCCTTAAGATTTTCAAGTTTCTTGTATGCTTCCGAGTCGACATTTCCACTGGACATATCAACATAGCCTATCTTAGAGGCCTCCTGGGCGTCGAATCCTTTCAGATCTCGATCAAAGAAGAAACATCTTTTGTCTTCACTATTTTCAGAAATTGCTTCCATGATTTCTCCTGATAGTAAAGACATTTTTTTTTTATTCTCAAGTTTTTAAAAAAATAATGTAAATATATGAAACACCAAAATACTGACATAATAAACAAATTTTGAGCCACAATCTCCTACTACTTTTCTTGTTCTGTGACATTTCGTGAAAGTAATAATGTTTTGATTCACATATAAATTATAAAATTACCTTCCGTAATTGATCGTGTCAACTCAACTTTGAGATCCTGTGGTAGCTGGCAATGTCTGACAGCTGTGAATATCGCTTTTTGCATGATATCAAACGTGTCATACCAGCCCTTGATATCGTCACTATCACGCTTGTCATAGTTAGGAAATTTATGCGTAATCGGTTGCAAAACAAACTCAGGTTCTGAAATTCAATACATTGAGATTTAGGAATACATTTATAAAACTTACGAAATTGGATAAGAACAACCAACAACAATGTAGTAATATTAACTGCAATGTACTGCAATGATGAAATCGAATATTATTTAGATTGCACCCGGAATTAATTATTATTTAAACGAATCTATATTAGTTTCAAATTATACAAAATAGTAAGTATAGCATGAATATATATGTTGTTGATTCAGCAGTATAACACATCCTGTCACATTAATAAATAAACAAGGAAGCCTTACTGAGAGCATTTAAATCCAGTCTGTACCAATCCTTGATAAGTTCTATTGCTTTGTCATCATCGGTATCTCGACTTGTAGAATTCTCGATATACGTCAGAAAAGTCATAAATGTAGCTGATTCAACGGTACGAGGGATTGGACGCCAACCATACTTGTATCCAAGAATACCAACAAAGAATGGACCAATGGAAGTTGCTCTTTAAAGAAACATGAATCGCAATTTAAATACAGTTTGCCCTCCATTTGACCACTTGAGACGGGAAAATCTGGGGTTGTCTTGGGTTTGGTCTCCAATTAGAGGATTAACTTTGTGTTAAAAAATTGAATAATATTAGTTGGTAGGCTACTCAGATAAGGGTCTAGGAATTGAGGTCTCAAATTGGAGGGCAAACTGTAATGTGATAACAACAATGATACCAAAAATTATGCTATAGTTAGAGGTTAGCAGGCCTTTAACCAAAAAAAAATCAAATCGAAAATTATTGTATAGTTCTTATGTGTCCAACATTACGTATATTAATTTAATGACTATCATGTACCATTTAGGACTTTGGCGATCATAATCTTCCACAAATATTACTGAGTCGCTTGCTAGGGAGAGATCGTAAATCTCAAGGTATTGATGTAAGTTAGTATATGTCTTAAATTCTAGCCTTCAAACACAATACCTATCAAAGTTTTCTACCAACAACAACAAAGAAATTTGATTGCCCACTGCATTCGGAGAGACAGCGATGATCCAACAACAGTACCGAAAACAGATTAAAAATATACAGTTCAACTTTAAATAGAGCTGTTGCATCTTCACAAATGGATAAGGCTCAATTCACTTGAACCTGATTTGTACGTACGAAGTATAATTAAGGATTTTTTCCATGGGTAATCATCTGATATGCTGTGCATAAGGTACAATATAATCCAATCAGGGAGGTGGGCGACCCTGCCCATGATGAGCTCCAGAATCTTTCTGACCCGGGAGGACAATATCTGCAAGGGTCTCACCTTGGGTTACAGGTTAATTAAATAATCAAATAAATCAACTAAAAAAAGAATAAATATATAGTCTTGTTTCTTTTCACCTATATATATATATATATATATATATATATAGTATACAAAACATTATAGCACAGAATTTGCTGGTGTCTCTGTAAAATGCAGTGTATATGTCAACTGATATCAGTCAAGGACGGCTAACAAAACAAATAGCAATATAGTCTTGTTTCTTTTCACCTATATATATATATATATATATATATATATAGTATACAAAACATTATAGCACAGAATTTGCTGGTGTCTCTGTAAAATGCAGTGTATATGTCAACTGATAATAAGTCAAGGACGGTTAAGAAAACAAATAACAATATAGTCTTGTTTCTTTTCACCTAAATATAATACTGTATGTAACTTAGCAGGTTATATTTTACTTTGTTCCTTTCTTATTGTTGTCAAAAAAGTATAGTTGACTATAGTAGTAAAATTGTGGAAATCTTAAATATGGAAAACCTGTTATATTATCTAGACATTTTAGATTGTACCTTACCTGCATCTCTGTACCTCTGTCAGACAAATACTGGTGGCCTGGTGTGAGTTTGCAAGAACCTTTCTTATGCCCCACCTTAGGTCAACAACGTTGAAATCTAAACCAATCTTTCGACAGAATTCACGTAGATACGGGTACACATCCTCCATCAGAATATCTCGTTCCATCTGGGTGTCTGTGAATGTTGAACTTACAAACACCCACACCTCATTTCCATTTCGCTTAATATGCGAATCTGGAATCCCTCCGTACATCATCTCTCGAAATTCCTCTCTATTCTCGATATCATCCTTTTCACATTCAATTAAAAAATCCTCAAATTCATCAGCTGCATCTTCTAGGATCTTTTTCCACACCTGGCGATCATCTCGAGGCGTGTTCCACAGACCACTTGCACGCATACGTATGGTTGCCATATGGGCTGTACGGTAAGCACTAAGCCCTTTCCAGTTCTTCTTTCCATTAGCCTTTACAGGGGCCCCAGGCAGAACCCCTACCGCATTACCCATACTGAGGGATGCACTTCTCGTCCTGTTAAAACAGGGGGGTAATGAATAAGATTAGGAAAATAAGGATATGTTGGACTGGTTAAATAACATATACTCATTGTTATCGAACATCTTTTTGTCAAATCTTCCAGTCCGTGTTTATAAAAAAAAATTCAAAGAAATTGAAATAAATAGAAACAACAATTCAAAATATTAACAATGGGCATTGGTAAGAAAGGAAATGTAAAGAAGAAAAACACACAGAAATGAAATGAAAAAAAAGGAACTTAATGAAAACATTAATTAAAAGAACGAAAAAGGAAATGGGATAGAAAGAAACGAATAGGGCAAATACAGAGGGAAAGCTGGAATTACCGTATTACTTGAATACAAATTAAATTATAACTAACAAAATTTATAGTAGGCCTAATAATTACTGTAAGAAATTAGGTTAGGTAAATTATATAGTTTTCCCCTTGATTATTTTCTTTTCCGGTTATAAAAGTGAATAGTATACATTCATTATATATTTTTTATTATGTTAAGTATATAGCATCACCCTGTATAAATCATGGGGGCAGGGGTGAAAATGTCATGATGGAGGAGGGGTGGGTGTTGGTAAGTGTTTGTGGTGTGGAGAATGTCCCAATTAAAAATATGACTGAAAAGATCATAAGTATTTAACTACTGAGTATTCAACCATACTTTAGTTTACAGACAAAAAATCGCCAATTTTGCATCTTGTAAGGCAGTTACTGGTGCAGCTTGTAAGGTGTTGGACTTCGGATCGCAGGATCGGGAGTTCGAGACCAACGTTTGTCACATTGCTTGTGTCCTTAGGCAAGATACTTTACCTATGTTTGCCTCTCTCTACCCAGGAGTCCAACTGGGTATCTGGTAGGTTGGAAAACAAGGGATGTGTTCCATGCATGTTTGATCCAATGACCGGGGTAATAAATGTAATAGTTTAGAGGCTTTAGGCATGAAGCGCTATATATAAGACCGACGTATTATTATTGTTACTATTATTATTATCATTATTATTATTGTTATTGTTATTGTTATTATTATTGTTGTTGTTTATTATTGTTGTTATTATTATTATTATTATTATTATTATTATAAGGTCTATTTGATAGTATTAACCTGTAGCACAAGGATCATGCAGTATCCCTTTTTATACCATCCTAACATATAGAATATAAAATCTAACTGAATATGTCATAACCCATAAACTGACTGCAATATGACATGTTTTTTTTTTTTTTTTTTTTTTTTCAGTTGTTTTCAAATGTAATGAGTATTCGGTACATTTCCACGTCAGGTAGGGCAAAATTACACCTATACATGTTTCTCCTGACGCAAATCCAGTTATTATCTATTATTCCATCACGACAATAACAATTACTATCAATATGACATGTGTCCAAGCAATTGGTGTTTCTTTGTCGTTACTTATGGAACAACTATGTTAGACAAAGTACGATTACCATACGAAGGCCTATATGAATCACTTTAAGTATCAATATTTAATTACTTGTACGCTCTGTGGCAACACCTATCGTATTATTAGCTCTCAATGATTAAAGCTAGGGGCCCGACTTTTTAACGGGATCCCAAATATTAATCTCCCTCCCACCCCAGGATAGTAGAAAACTTCTTGGGACACAGTCCTTTTCGTTACGCAACTGCTGTGATGGCAAGGTAATTAGTAGTCGTATATCGAAAGCAAATACAGTAACAGTATTACCGTCTAACCAGGGAGATTATTTTTACATCTCCCTGGTCTAACTACAGTATTTCATGTGTAAATTGAATTGAAATGCTTACCTTCCCTATGTAGTGAACGCTAAGGCAATTATTAGGCTAAGTTAGTTGTAGGGCCTAGCCTACATGGAAACAATTCTACAAAGAAACGCCATGGAACAGTTCAATATTCAAAAGAAGACCTGTATTCCATTAATTCGCCTGATAAGAATTAAGTCTGAAAACATTGTGTTGTACACGCATGTCGTACACGCATGAGTGAGAGCTTAAAATACAGAATTGTTTACTGTTGTCAGGATCAGATGTTTACTTGATACGTCAGAGGGCGATGTTTAATAAGGATTGGTGGCAATGTATATTATGGTCCGTATATTGCCGGCGTATTATCGATTTTGATAAATTTGAATGAATAATTAAAACATGAAATGTATCGTCTATTGACAGTTCATATAAATTCCATACACGGCCGTCAGATATCGCAGGAATCTGCATTATATTGGACCACAAGGAAATCAATACGTAGGCCTATAGGTAGGTATTACTCAATACTATAATCGATAATACTAAACAGGGCCATGGAAACCTACCCAGTCGGTCAATTAAATATAAAGAAAATATGTGCTCATTTATTTCCACAGTCTGCTTTTTCACATTTTCTTTTGTGTGGAAAATCATCCAGTTTGACTAAATTTATTTAAACAATGATAATTATCGTCTGCCAGGATTAATTTGCCTAATTTTGTACCGTAAATTGTAGTTCTCGCAAATACAGTATGCCTGCCTCTAATTTTTATACCGTATTTTTTTTATTTTCTTTATTTTTGCTGTAGATCTTTTATCTTGTTTATTGCTTAACGGTTTGTGTGCTGTTTTAATGTTTGAAATTTTATTTTAATACGGCTCCAGGGAAGAACTGCCATTGGCTGTGTCTGGACAACACGTGTATAAATAAAGTTTATTATCAATATTATAATCGTGTCGCAACACGATAATACACGGTCTAAACCATTGTAGATAATGACTTCGAAAGGGACCTGTAAGTCTATTAATTACATCTTTTTTTATCTGAGAATGTTATATACCCTTTTTGTATTACCAGTCATCCCCACCATTACCATGTCCCAACCATATTTGTTGGTCGTTTTTGTCCGACAGTGGAGTCCGAAACAAGAGGCCGACTAGAGCCTTTGATCCGGGTTCCGAAATCAAAAATTCTGGGAGGGTTCATAAGGAGAGTTTTTATGGCTTAGTATGGCCCAAAATTTTGCTTTTAGACAAAATATTGGCAATGAAAATAACATTTTAGATAGGGAAATTAATATTTTTGGTCCTACGATCTCGTTGTGGCGTCGGACGACGGGGGGGGGGGATCAGGTAAGGGTGGTGCCCCTGCCCCACTCTGCTGGTTCCACCACTGCTGTTAAGCTGCTAATTGTGTTTGGACTGGTTTTGCTAAAAGCAAACTCAATAAGTGCGAGAATGATTGGAAAACTCTTCGAGTATGTGAAGCAGATCGGTTTGTAGTCCAAGCAAATCAACCTCTATTACCATTTGTATTAATTAAAAATAGGCCTATCCGAAATTCTATTCATAATAAATGTAACGGAGACAGTATCTTTGAAATTTTAGTTGTAAAATATTATCGAGTATAATTATACTTCATGACAAGCTGGGTACAGATTCATTTAATTTACGATGGAAATACGACTACGCATAAAATGTATTTTAATCTTGTGAATATAAAATATATTAATATGCGATTTAAAGGAAAAAAGTATAGGCTATATCAAGTACTGTATAGGAAAACGGGGCTTAGGAAGGGGAGAGTAGGCCTAAATGATATAATTGTAATGTTTAAAAGGTTTTTAATATTATAGGTGGTCGGAAGAAACACATGGTTTAAGATTATTCATAATTATGTAGAAGCGGCCGCATCGGTTGTGGCTTGGACTTGAGGTCAGGGGTTTGAAACTCTCGCTGTGCAAGTCGCTTGTCCTTGGGCAAGGCACTACCAGGAATAGGTACCTGGTAGGATGTTGTGGCATTGAATGTATTAGTTTCGTGCGCTAAAAAAGTAGCGCACGACTAGGTATACTTCACATCAGGGAGCAGAGAAGGTTGCACTTTGTGCTGTTTTGTTATTTACGGTATCAAGTGACCAGGGGTCATAACGGTCAGCGCCTTTGATCATGGCGCTATATAAATATTTGGCTATTATTGTATTTTAAGATGAGCTAAATAAAAGTCCTGATATTTAACAAAATGTTACCATGAGTTTTACATATTTATTTTTTATTAATAATTTGCCGTAAAGCAAAATGCTGCTATCTTCAAATATTTAAAATATATCTAAAATGCAGTATTCGTTAATTTAAAATTAATCTTTAAACACAGTATTCCAAATGCGAATAATAAGTATATTTTAGAAACATGTTTTGAGTCGGAGTACAAAACGTGACTATCTGCACACCTGGTTCCCGAACGCCATCGTCTCGGTTTTAATCGATAATGTTCCTGTAGCTAGGTGGCGGTAATGAAACTACAACTGGTAGATAATTTTTTTTCTTAGGTAGACATTATAGTAGGCCTATACGATTTTAAGAATAACTCTAGTTTATTAAAGCTGCAATATTCCGAAATATTGTTTTAGATTCCCGACGGTGTAGTGCAGTAAATCTGTAAGTAAGTCAAAAAAAGTTAAACAAAAATTAAATATGTTGAAAATGATGATTTACAAAATGTAGGCCTACTACGTTCATATTGTTCAAGAGAACGAGTCACCATTGTGACAGTAACATTATGTTACTGTCTTTTCGTAACCTGTTACGTCATTTCATAATGTAGATATAGGCCTAATGTTTAAGCGGGAGATAGTTTTACTATAAACTATAATAGGTAGGTCTAAAGATAAAGCATAGGCCTATTATAGTAAAGTATCGGCCAAGTGGTATGTAGAGTATAGGAAGACACAAACATCGAAGTCCTTGCGTCTATAAGATGGCCAGATACGATTTTTAAATGATGGCCGGCTAATAGGGTAATAAACAGGGGCGGATCCAGAGATGTCCAAAAGGGGGGTGGGGCCGAAATTTGGGCCGATCGAGACAACAATTTCCTAGGGGGTCCGGGGGCATGCCCCCGCGAAATTTTTGTGTTCTAGACGCCCGAAAATAACATTTGAGGCGTTGTGGGCTATCATTTTTTTCTTTTTTTTTTTACCTCCCAAAAGGCATCTAGATGTGTATAACCCCCCCCACCAAATCCGCCCCTGATAAACGGGACTTTTTGAAACCCGAATACTTCGAAAGGCACATACAGGTAGGGATATTTTGAATCCACGCATTGAGATGCTTGTAAACCATTCAAAACGTCCGTATAGTTTCGGAAGATCCATAGTCAAAATATACGGGTTTCGAAAGGTCTTGGATATGAAATATCAAAGTTCCTTACCATGTAAACAGTCTAAACCAGTGGGTAGCTTGCTTGGGTGGCAATTCCGCACATGTTGCCTTTGCGAGTGATCTTGAAGTAGCCTTCCATTCCCCAAGTGGTGCCCCAGCTGAAATGTAACATAATTATGAGTTAAAACACTATTAACACTTATTTTATGTGATTTCTATCAACGATTGTTTTTATGGTGGTGACGACATTAAAACATACTAAATGCAATGAGAGGGTGATCGTGGCTAAGTTCCGATAGATAATTCTGACTTGTTTGGGAGGGAAAAATTAAGCAAACTACTAATAGAAAAATTTCACCACGCTGGACCACTTTCGAAAGATCTTGAGCTTCGCCCGACCATGCCCACTTTGCTCTCGTCGGGGACATTAGCTATCTGTCGGGAACCAAATCCTGGCGCCAATCCTGCAGGTTTGACCTACCTGTTCTTGATGAGCCAATAGGATTCACCGCTTTCACTGTCTTCACCATAGCCAACAGCTAGGACTCCGTGGTCTAGACGTGTACTGCTGCATCGAGGCTCAGAATATACACCTATGAATAAAATGGTTTCATTACGGTATTAAAGCAACAACATTTTTAAGCCCTCAATTTCCAAAGAGAATAGGACGTGCATGCAGTTGGCATTATATTTATTTACCCAATATTACCCATAAGCTAATGAAGATGATGATGATTATAATGATGATCATCATCATTATCATATAAAATCAAATGTTGCGAATACAAAACCATGTGCAGAGTACGAAATGTGCTTGTGTTGAAGAAAGAGTGAATGAATGGACAGGAAGAGTAATGTGAATTCTACAGATCAACGACTATCAACACGTATGGCGGCTACAATACAAATAAATACGTCAGTGTATTTTACAGAAGATTGGATCGAATAGAGGAATACGGTACCACTCATGGTTGATGAAACTTTATTACTAGCCTAGCATTTATGGTGACACATCGTTCTATATACATGAAGGAATAACACTAAATAAAAATATTAATATTACTTAGTATTATCAGTAGATACATGATAAAGTATATGCCTACCATTTTTATAAAGCTGGAATGACTGGTGGCTGGCATCCATTGCAACTGAAATTGGACCAACAGTTGCAACTGCACTCTTCAGCTTTTTTTCACTACCCGACTCAATATCAGTAAAACCAGTATCGGTAGCAACAACAAGGTTAGCCTCAAACTTGCATTTTCCATCCTGTTGTTTCAGAAAATATGTAAATAATTTATTAAAAGTAAAATTCTGAAATTAACATATTATAATGTATCAATAATGTATTGGGTTACTCTCTGATAAGGAAATACAAAACATAACATATTAATTAGAAAATGTTATGAAAGTGTAAAAGGTGATCAAGTGTAAAGTTAACGTAACATTATCGCCACAAGAAATACCATTAAGTAAGAGTATAATTAGAAGTTCGTACCCTTGCGGTATATGTGTAACCCTCCTCAGATTCAATCCCACCTTTAGCTTTGATGTATCTAAAAGCGTTGTCCATCAGACCTCCTTCGCAGCCGTTGTTACCGTATGCTTGGGAGCAGTCAACTAACTGCTGTTCGCTGAGAGATACGAGTTTCATATATTTTTTGAAATGTTGTCCTTCCAAAGACCCAGTCTAAATGTATATAAATAAATAATAATATAGCATAGATTACCATGATTTGCACAATATATGATGGTAAAGGTTTCGTTGGAGCTTTGTTAAGATGTTAACATTGGCACAAACTTGAGACACAATTTTCACTCTTGGCGTGACTCATAAAGAAACTTTGTTGGGAATTAATTACTTTATTCAGTTGTCCTAACCAGCCCCATAATAGATCACATTCACCAGGATGTAGAGTGGGTAAGTACATACAATTATTGTTAAACTTACTGTAGAGAAAGCCCAGCAGGATCCACATTGTTTCTGTAAGAAGAATACCACATAGAAGCTAGCTTTAATTCTAAACACTAATATACAACAACACATTCCAAAAAGTCTAATAATATTACATATAACCTTTCATATATTTTCGATTACATTTCCTAATAATTAATATACTTTTTAATTCAAGTATCAGTCTGTTGTCTTGTTACTGAACTAACTTGGAAGTCAGTAACTGAGTATCAGTATGATAATTACAGTGGCTATACAAATAAACGTTATTTTAGTGACGATCCGCTCAGTCTGCCATCGACATCAGCAGACGGCGTCGTGTCGTCAAGCTCTCGCAGATAGCGGATATGGATTCGTCAGTCGACGATCGTACGACGCACTGTGCGAGGCACACAAGGTGGTGACAAGCCCCAGTGCAAGATAATTGTCGGGCCCTTTAATGTGAAGCCCTGGGACGGATAAAGAGTCTGTTTCTGACCATCTAGCAAATATGAGTCTGGAGTAAATTTGGGGTAATTTTAAGTGTCGTAAAAGGCGCCTGATCGGCAAAAGATAGGACTACTACGCTATTTAAGCGCTATTTAAACGCGGAAATATCTATAAAATATTCGAAAAAAAAAAATTCAAGGATAGCTACTTAAATAAAAATATTTTCAAGTCATATATATTTTGTTTAGGGCCTATTGGGTGTTTCATGAGTCTCTGATAAATTATAATAATAGGGCACTTTCGATTTGTGCGGCGACGCCAGAACGGAATCACTCATGCGTGACCGTCCTATCTGGAGTCAATACGTTAATTTTCTGCATACGGTACGTAGATTTCCAGCATCTACTCGACGAGGTGATCTCTCGAGACGAGGTGACCTTAACATTCTCGCATGCGCAGATGATTTTTACTGACGTCATTACGTTCTACGTCCTACCATGGAGGAAATATATAAATATAATATATTTCCTCCATGGTCCTACCGTCGCGCAATCGAAAGCTTCCTAATGACAATACAACAATCATCAGCCTACTTGCAGTGAAGTAAATCTAAAACGTATTTATGAAGTATGATCACCTGACGTGGTTCAAAAACGAGAAAAATACTGTATAGTTGATTGAACGAACTATCTTTAATGAAAGAAAATAGCCTTGAATGAATTCAAAAGATACGAAGCTGTTTATGGCTTGTTTATTTTGTAAACAAGGAAGATAAAATGTCATCCTATTTGCAGTGTTTGGTGGGCCGTAATAGGTAAATTGTAATTGTGGCCTATATTATTCAGGGGTCTTTTTAAAATTTAAATAGAATTTTTTTAAAGTTTTATTTTTAGATCTATAGGTCTATATAACTGCCCCAAATAGCTCCGGGCCCCAGTGCTTTGCCCATATCTATGCCATTCGTTTACCTGGTTCTTGACAGGTGTGACGAAGCCCTTATTCCTCCAGTCGACTGTAGCTGGAGCTTCGTAATTGCTTGGTTCCAGGTATGCGGATCCACGGGTTTTGTTCACCATTAAGTAACCATTGAAAAAAGCAACAAATTCTGCGTTTGTCTATAAACGAAAAAAATATTCATTTTTTAACCAAGTGACTAGAAACTTTCAATGATGTCACTGTAGGCCTATGTATAGAAAGACGAATGTTTAAAAATGATTGACATGCACCAGTATGTATCTGATTAGTGGGGATGAATGAAAAAATTGAATGTGGTCAATTTTATGTTTATATAATTATTTGACTTACCAAGTCAGCAAACTCGTTGATTCCCACGGTATGTGTGTGGATTCCCTGAGCATATTCAGCGTTGTGCTTCTGGATAAATTTTTGGTTATCTTCAAAAACAGTTCTGCGATATGCTTCTTCCTCAGCTGTGTATGCCCTGTCTGAAAAAAAACAAAAAAACAAAAAAAAAACAGAAGAAATAATTATAAAATAATTAAATGAAGAGTTAATTGTTGTGTGTTAAACTCGGTTTCCATACAATCGCTCACCCTATCACCACCAGTTAAGTAGGTGAAGTAACTATTTCAAACTCGAGATGCCTCTATCCGGTGTATGTATCTATCGATTTATCAGCTTCCACTGATAACAATATAATTGTGTAATTAGTGTAATCACAGAAGATAGCCCCTATAATCACGTGTTTGATAGCACATGTTCCTAATTGCCTGTCCCATTGTAATTTGAGTCTGTGATGTATCCATCAAGACAATTAAACGCGACTTATTAATAAGCCCAACTTAAGCTGTAGGATATTCACATCGGATCCCAACTGAATTTCGGACCACTTATCAGAAGCTCTGAACGCCAGCACTCCCCATTTTTACTCACTGAGATTTTCTGATCACTTTCTGATCCGGAAATTTGGATTAAATGTGAATGCACCTTTACTGTGGGTAAGTAGGAAGCGGATTTTAGAAAGATCGGTTTGTACTGAAGTTAAAGGGGAAAAAAACCCTAAATTATTTTTTTTAAATAATGTTTGATTTGAACATGGCGTGAACAATCAAATACGGCAAACATTATATAATACTTTCCAAAAACACGTTAAAAAATAATTAATTTCAAACATTCTACTTTAAATACTAAAAAAAAACCAAGCCTCCGATTTCAAACACCATTCACAATACAAGACCTATAATCCTGATATTAAACTTAAACTTGGTAATACTGAGACTGACCTTGTAAACTTTTATAAGATTGTAATTCTATTTAACAATATGAACACGAATATTAGTCAACTCACCAAAAGCTCGTTTGAACAGCTCCCATTCTGCGTTTGGCATGGCCAAAGCGGCACCAAAAAGTAATACACACACAAACAGCTTCATTATTTTTTTTATTTTGTTGCTTTGTTATGGATGACAGGACCTGCTTACTGAATGCAACTGAATGAAGCAGAGGGGTAAATCTATTGTAGATATAGGTTGGAGCTTGTCGACACGTGAGATGGTTTTGTATTGTCATGTAAATGAAAGATTGTACTTCGTACCCGATTCACTCGTGGTATATCTCGTGATGTTTTATGACAGATTCACTATTTACATTTATTGCACGCATTAAGTACTAATGCCCTAAAAATGGTTTTAATTGTAGGCAAGGTATCATGGAGGAAATATTCCTCCATGGGTATACAGTTTGCGAAAAAGTCAAAGTTCCATGATGAAACAACAAAGTTTGGCGGTCCGACGTAATTAGACTATACTGTACTGCATCTTTCAGAATAAATCTAACATATGATTTAGCCTAGACAGTTTTTGTTCTTATCCCGTAGGGATGAGTATGCAATATTTCTTATCTTAACCTATTTCATCGATTATCATTTCAGATCTCATAAATTCAAAATGTTTAGATAATCCTGACTTATATAAGATATAGGCCTAGCTAAAATTCAGCCAAAGCCAAATTTCAATCCCCCGCAACAGTGAGCAAACCTGAACTAAGACTACGTTTATTACCTGGGAAGTTGAAGAACATCATTATTAGGCCGACCACACCCCAATGGTGGCGCCAGCGGGAGGGGGTGGGGCAGGGGTTCCCCATTGGATATGCCTGGACTCGTCGTCTGACGGCACGGCAAGTTCGTCGAACGAAAATTTACCTCCAAAACGTTATTTTCAATTCCAATTCTTAATATTGTGGTCTAAAAGCACACTTCTGGGTCATATTAAGCCATAAAAACTCCTCATGAAGCGTACTAGGATTTTTTTTAAATTTTTATCGCGGCCAGGACCCTTGTCGGCCCCAAATTTGCTCGGACCCTGCTGTCCGACTTGTCAGACGTCGGCAAATTTTTGGAGCCACATTGACCACATGCACTCTTACTGCCAAGCTATTGAGGAAAAAATCTTCCATATCAGACCAAGGGAGGTATTGAATAATGAGAGGTATTAATACCTCCTTGATCAGACTATTTCATCTGCGCTAATCTATGAATGGAATATTTTTTTCGGATTCGTACATGAATGTTTATACAGTGTCAGCTCACTTTTGTAGCTGGATAATAAAGGGTCACCTATTGGGGTCACAAAGAAATTAAATCTATTAATTTGATTAGTTGATGCTGCTCAAATACCGTGACTGTATCTTCAGATACAACAGTTTTCTTTCAATAAAAAAATTAGACAAAGTGATACGATGAGGATTTAAAATTATTTATTTGTATATAATAGGCATATTCTCTCCCGATAAAGTCACATTAAAATGCACACAGAAGCACTTCTTAAATGGCAATTTTATTTTCAAATAATTACAATGTTCCGTATGTATGACTTTTGTCAGTACGTCTATACCTGGTTCTTAATAGCCAAATTTGGCCCTCGAGAAAAAAAAAATATATATAAAAAAAATTTCGAATAAATTAATAATAGGCCTATATATAACAATGATCGACTAGTAGAGCGCATATTGTGGAAACCTCTATGCCCTGGTATTCAACCTTTTTAAGCTGGGGCCAGTTCCGACTTGTTGAGACCAGCGGCGGGCCGACATAAATTGTGTACTTCCATTTTCTTTTATAGCGGTGAATTCAAAATAGAAGGGGTCATGGAACAACTTTCACAGATATGGGGAAAATACCACCACATCCCCACCATGGTTGGGGCTGAGGCAAGAAAATGTATGATTATGGCACTTCTAGATGGTCGGAAATGTCACTCTCAGATTTAAATTTGATTTAATTTTCTTTTCTTTCTTTTAGAATTTTGAAAAAAAAAAAACTGTACTCTGCAGGTTATTGCTCAGCTCAACCCCAACCACTGGTAGGCCTAAGTGGATATCTTTGTAGTAGGAACATTTCTAGTGGCAGGGTAGGATCCTACCCTGCCACTAGAAATGTTCCTACTACAAAGATATCCACTTAGGCCTACCAGTGGTTGGGGTTGAGCTGAGCAATAACCTGCAGAGTACAGTTTTTTTTTTTTCAAAATTCTAAAAGAAAGAAAAGAAAATTAAATCAAATTTAAATCTGAGAGTGACATTTCCGACCATCTAGAAGTGCCATAATCATAAATTTTCTTGCCTCAGCCCCAACCATGGTGGGGATGTGGTGGTATTTTCCCCATATCTGTGAAAGTTGTTCCATGACCCCTTCTATTTTGAATTCACCGCTATAAAAGAAAATGGAAGTACACAATTTATGTCGGCCCGCCGCTGGTCTCAACAAGTCGGAACTGGCCCCAGCTTAAAAAGGTTGAATACCAGGGCATAGAGGTTTCCTATGTGTATAACAATAAAGCTCATATTATGTAGGAACAGTGTTATAATCGGATCAAGCATAGCCATTCAACTAAAGGTCTTTATCGGTTTAAGATCGATTTTATACCAATGTATGAAAGGCTATAATGCCATAAAATATAGGTTACTGCATATATATAAATAACATTTAAAAAAAACAAACACTTGAAAAACTTGTTTTGGAAAGAGGTGCCTCAAGTGATTACCATTTGAGAAAGACCTATGAGCGAAAAACTTTGTGAAAATGTTCAAGTAAACTGGGGCAATCAGTGGCGGATCTGAAAATTCAAAATAGAGGGGCACATGACGTTTACAGACCAAGGGTCTAAACAACCTCAGTCCCACCATGGTTGGAGCTTAGGCACAAAACTTTATGGCTATGGCACCTCTAGATGGCTGGATTTTCTCCATTTTCTCCGTTTTTTTATCTTTAAAAAATTAGGGAGAAAAATAAATAATCGTTTTGTCTGTTATAAATTACTGTAATTGTATACTAAATATACAGATTATTAATATTATTATTATCCATTATCGTATTTTCCCTTGATTCGCAGCCAAAAAAGTGTCCTATAATATGGGTGTCCCAAAGAAGTATTCTAATGTGGTATTTTGTCATTCTGCTAAAGTCTTATTGTCCAGTGTTACACAGTCTCTCTGCTGACTGGTTTGTAAGATCTATTCTGAATAAAATAATTTAAAAAGAGTTAAAATTCCAAGTCGCACATTTGACCAATTTGAAAAATAAAACCCCCCATGACAGATTTGCTAAGATGCGCACTTCAATTCAAAATAGAGGGGAACAGGAAGGGACGTTTACAGACCAAGGGTCTAAGCAACCTCAGTCCCACCATGGCTGGAGCTTAGGCACAAAACTTTATGGCTATGGCACCTCTAGATGGCTGGATTTTCTCCATTTTTCTCCGTTATTTTATCTTTAAAAAATTAGGGAGACAATAAATAATCGTTTTGTCTGTTATAAATTACTGTAATTATATACTAAATATACAGATTATTAATATTATTATTATCCATTTTCGTATTTTCCCTTGATTCGCAGCCAAAAAATTGTCCTATAATAGGGTGTCCCGAAGAAGTATTCTAATGTGGTATTTTGTCATTCTGCTAAAGTCTTATTGTCCAGTGTTACACAGTCTCTCTGCTGACTGGTTTGTAAGATCTATTCTGAATAAAGTAATTATTATTAAAAAAGAGTTAAAATTCCAAGTCGCGCATTTGACCAATTTGAAAAATAAAACCACCCATGACAGATTTGCTTAGATGCACACTCCACCAAACCTTCTATACACAACTCAACAGGGACAACACCTTTACCAACATTTACATTTCTCTATATTATAATACATAGTGATTCAAAACAAAATTTACACTATCACTTACATCTTTTACCCATATTGGTAGTTTAGCGTTATTATTACTGATTATTACTGTCAATATATTGTTCTTTCTTGGAGAATCATAGGAAGACAAGCGTTCCTGACAATAAATCTCAAAACTATACAGAGAAAACTAGCAACGTTTTAGACCAGAAACATGATGTCGCAACACAATACGCAAACCAAACGTACATGTACACACATTTTAATGCACATAATACATTTGGCTATCACATTATACTACAAAAAGAAAATAAAAGTACAGAAAAAATACCATTAGCAAATAAATTGGAACGTTTATCATAGTTTACAGAGGAATATGTACATTTATAGGATAACTGCTGAATATCATAATGGTTATCCTTATGGACATCATAGAAAATATTATTTCCTGTGTGTACCATACGCATGTGTACTCTAGTACAGGTCTTCCTCCAATTAAATAACACTTTTTGGACCGGGGGTTTCAATGGTCTTTAGCAGCTTTGGTCTATGATTAAAATAATAAAAAAGACATTTAGGACCAAAGGAAATTGGGGTGGTCTTTAATTGGGGTGGTCTTTAATTGGAGGGAGACCTGTATTATCATTTGTATAATACCATAGTTTTATTTACTTTACATCAACTTTGGCTAAAAGAATTAAATAGACAATTATAACAAATCCAGTATTTTTCAAGGCACATAAAGAACAAATTACAGAGAACACTCGGAAATCTGTATAAATGCAATATTAGAATATTTCTAGTTGATGAATTGTGCGTATGTCCCAATTAAGACAAGAAAAAAACTGACCACACCATAACAGAGTGCATCGATATAAACACGCAGTTTCTACGGAAGTGTTTTATGTGCGGGAACTTGGGTCAGAGCCGAATGCACAATACGGCATTCGACTGTTGGTCAACATTTTCATGGAGAAACAAATGTACAAGGCATCATTTTACAGAGAGCGGAAATAGATTCGTTGGCCAAAGCAGTGTAAGCCCAACTTAACACAATAGCAACATATGTGTATAAATCGCATGAAATTATGTTGATGTCCAGATGGTAATTCAACATACACATTAATAAAAGACAAAAATCAATAAATAAATTATTGATAAAAAGAAACAGCCAAATTAACAAACTTACTATACAAAGTATAAATACAATTCATACAATTCACTTAATTTTTAAATTTCAAATTATTGTTTGAGTTCCATAATCTCAAATTCTATCACAAAAAGTTTTAAAAGCAAAGAATAATAAAATGAAAAAGGTGAAAATGTTTAAAATTTAATAATTCTAATGAAGCAAATATTTTTAATCTTATGTTTTTAATTAATGTCAGATATAAATACATTTAAGGATACAATTTAAATAATTTATAAATCATTTTAAAACAAATGCATTAATAGAATTATTTCTCAATAAATTCTAAATTAATAAATTAATTCAAAAAAGAAAAAAATGTCTAAACAAATTCATTATTTGGAATATTCCTAATTGCACAATAAACAACTAATATGCATAAAATATCTAACAAAATATTAGTCAGCCGAAAAAAAATCGAAGAATACTATAGCTCCATTTACACCACCATTCCGCAACCTATGAATCGCGACCCAATGTTTGGGTCACGAAAAAAATTGATGGGTCGTATAATCTCTTCAGATCGTGAAAATTTTACTTAACACGAACAAAAACAAACAAAATTAAATTACAGTTAACGAAAGTGCAATTAAGTGTGGCAAGTGCTTTTGTTTACTTTTGTTTTATTTGTTTTATTAAAGTTTCATGTTAAAAATACACTATCAAAACATTTGTACTTCAGGTATGACAACTTTAAAATATTAGGCTAGTTTTGTTCATTTCAATGTGTTAGGCTTTCAGTTGCAAATTATATTGAGAAAACATTATTATATTTAATGTGTCTGTCTTCGCATAACACATAAATCTCTGGCAGCACTAGGAATTTATAATAATATAATTTTTAAAAAGTTTTAACTTCTTAAAAAATTTGATAACTTACGTGATTTTGGTGAATGAGTAATTCAAAGTTACATTTTCATTTGTATGGGTTTTACAAAGTTATTCTGTGGGTGATAATATCTTTCAATCAATTCACAAAAGAAACAAGTGGGTGGTTCTTCCCGCTATCCCTCGCACGTATAAAACGACGGACGTTTTATCACTTCGGGTTCGATGGGTCGCGTCAGAATGCTTGACATATAATTTGGGTCATGGTCTAAAAAGGTTGCGGAACAGGGATTTACACCATCAGGTTTTAGAAGACAAAATTGTGTGATTTTCCCATATACAGACATGATGATGTTATATCACAACCCTATATGGGCATGATCATGTCATATCTCAGCCATATATGGGCATGATGGTGTCATATCACATCCATATATGGGCATGTCATATTGCACTATATATGGACATAACCATGTCATCACAACCATATATAGGCATGATCATGTCATTTCATACCCATATATGGGCATGGTGTCATATCACACCAACATTAAGTCAAATCACAGGAATCTACATAGTTTGAACAAAGCTTTATTTTAGATGAATACACATTATTATCAGCCAATGAAAAAATTTAAGTAGATAGAAATATAGTTAATGATGAAGAATACATATTTGCCTTCAACAACACTTATAACAAAGATCCAAGAACATTTCAATACTATTACACAAAACCCTACATGTCTGAAACAAACTGACTGGAAACAGTAAAAGGAATGTCTGAAAACATTAAGTATTATTTATAATTGTTTGTCAAATTTACTTGGATCAATTAGGTACACAGTGACCTATAATACAACTGATTAATCTTATACCATTTCCCAAGTATACAAAATTGATAGATAGCATTATTATTATGTACAAGCCTAAATATATAGATTTATAATAGATTTCTTAAAAAAAAAAAAAATAGTTAAGAGTTTTGAATAGTGAAAATAAATTATAAAAAATTCACTAAAAGTTTTCAAATGAATAAATTCAATTTTTAAAGCTTAAGATGCTTGAACTTCAATCCCTGGGTCATAGGTTTTAAATTCTGTTCAGACCAGGATTGTTTGCAACTAAGCTTAACTTGGCCATGTGGGGGAAGCAGCTACATTCTGAAGAGGTTCCCCAGTATAAATACAAACAATTTTCAAAATACATCTCATGGTCATATATTACATGAAAATAAAGATCAAACATGTTCACATATTTGTTTTTAAATTATAGGCTTTATGATATGGTATATTTTAAAAAGAAGCTAAATGGGACATTTTTGTGGTGGGATTCCTATGTTATGGTAACCACAGCATTACTATCGAGAGAAAACAACAAAAAAAGTGAGGACTAATACATGCCTATTATAGAGAATATTAGGGAAATTCAATGGGTTACTTTATAATCTGGTGGAAACTATATTAACTAAGTTCAGAAATAAGTTAATTAATGATTCATAAAAGTACCTGTATATTTTGAACACGTGAAATAAACAGAAGTGAGAAACTGACCAACAAGGTACTGTAGTTTGGTAGAGAATGTTGTCACTTAAAATAAAAGATTAAAAATGTGAACTCGAAAATCATCTACATATCTTTGTTATTGTCAGCTGAGTTTATCAGTCAATATTGATGAAATAAAATCGTACAATAATTAAATTTAAGCAATTTGTAATTATCAAATTGTACAGAAATTCAAAGTCAATGTATTAAAGTCAATTAAAATAAAAGTTCAAAAAAGGTGAAATTGATATCTGATACGATGATTAATTCTTTTTAATTTTTTTCTTAAACATCAACCAGGAATTATTTCTAATGATACATGCATGTTCCATATTCTATCTTTTTTAGATATCTGAAAAGGAAAATAAACAACGGTATTGATATTACATTTTATCTTAAGACTGTCAATACATTTTTGGGTTGTGTTTTTCAGATGTTCAATTGCACAATCGCAGCATAGTGTTTCTTCACTGCGGGATCCTCTTCACTTGAATGTTTCATCATCGCTATCATCATGATATCTGTGAGACCCTGTCAACGAGGCGTGGACATTATCATCACTGTCACTTCTAAAAGAAACAATCATTTCGAGAAAAGGTTTGATAAATTGTCAGAGATATAATCTGTAAAACCCTAAAACATCAAATTAGAAACATTAAATAGTTAAGTATGAAGTAAGCAATTAAAAATTGACTTATATTCTTTCAAGTTTATTATTCTAAAATATCCAAAATATCTTTTAAGCTTTAAAATTAAAGCTAATTTTTAAGTTCAATATAATCCAGGAAAGACACCAAACATGGATAGAACAATACTCAGCTCTGGAGGGCAGTATTCCATAATACTATTGAAGATAATAATAGCACATTGGCCATTGGACTACCAGATGCCCACTAATACTTCTGGGTGGAGGACATGAACATGAAAATAAGCACATAGCCCAATGACAAAATAAGCATTCAGATCAGAATTGAACTAAGATGTTTTGATAGAAGCCAGGATAGTTACCACAAAATTATCTATCCAACAGCTTATTGATAAAAATGTAGTAATTTAAGACTGTTCCCCATTTAACAACCCAAATGAAACTGTATTTGGGCTCTTTATTTCATTTATTTATTTTATTTTATTTTATTTTTTTTGCTGAATTATGAGTTTTTGCAATTTATTATTTTATAGTTGTTTCAGAAGGCATTTATAAGTATCTTATAAAAATAAAAAGTATAGCCGCGTTAGTCTGTACAGTATAGAAAGTATAAAGTAAAAAACAGCAGCACTTTTGAGACTAACAACATATAATTTATTCTCTAGCTTTCATCCACACAGTGGACTTCATCAGGAGACTGTACAAATGGGATAAGAAACAACTATAATATACAACTGAAATAATGGGGGCGGTCCTAAAACAACAAAGAATGGTGTACAAAGCAAGTACAAGTCTGCCGAAATAAGCAATCTAAATAAACGGTATTAAAAGAACAAAAGATCAATGATAAGAAACTGTGGGAAATAGCATACAAAATATGTCTATGTCAAAGTCAATGATAAAAACAGTAAATAGGCAGTAAATACAGTAAGGTAACTATGAGACAAAAATATAGTTAATAATAAGGCAGCTATAGAAATATAAAAATATACATACAATGATGCAACCTGTAGCTAATCATTTTGCGTCTTCTGGCCACTCAAATAAGAATATGAAAGTGCAAGTAGTTAAGAAAGAATTTTTCAAAAATAGTTTAGAACGAGAAATAGCTGAACAGAAAATAATTACACAATTAGACTGTATAGAACTAGGCCTTAACATTGATCGAGGATTCCTCGCACATTAACCTCATTAATTATTTCTCATCATTGTATGTATATTTTTATATTTCTATAGCTGCCTTATTATTAACTATATTTTTGTCTCATAGTTACCTTATTGTATTTACTGCCTATTTACTGTTTTTATCATTGACTTTGACATAGACATATTTTGTATGCTATTTCCCACAGTTTCTTATCATTGATCTTTTGTTCTTTTAATACTGTTTATTTAGATTGCTTATTTCGGCAGACTTGTATATAGCAGAAAGACACAATGATATTAACCATCCTTATCACTGTAATTTACAGATATGAACAGGCATCTAGAAATTGATAATTCTAATTACATTGGAGATAAGAGGTCAAAAACCTAAGTCTGCATTGGTTTGCATTGGAGCTTTTTTAACTTACCCATAGATTATCTCATCTTCTGAATCATTCAGCATTGCAAAGTTAGGATTTTCTTTGAAATATGAGTCTAAAATAAAAACAATATTATTAACAATAACAACCAATCAACAAATATCAACATCAGTAATAATCAACAATCAATTATAAGAAACAACAATAGTTAAAAAAAAAAAAAAAACTTTTAAATGAACATCCTATCAACACATGTGCAACTCACAATGGTAACTATCAACACCATTGGTCAGTGCCTGAGGAAGTGATGTGATAGCCACTGATGTAATTCATTATCATCACTGTATTGAAATATGTACAGCAATAAACAACATAAAACATAAGTACAATACATATGGGAGCCGCACGTCCTTCAGGCGACAGTGGATTTTCAGCTTTTGTGACTCCTGAGCCGTCATGCCAAATGAATAAAATAAAATAAATAAAATATGTCACACTATTCAAGAATGACAAGTCGTTTGGCTGAGCGGTTAAGACACGAGAACCGTGACCTACATCCATAATATCGGCGCTGGTTCAAACGGCACGCTCGTTTAATGGTTTCGGTGGTGGAACGAGTCTTCTCGGATAAGGACTCTAAACCGTAGGTCCAGTGTACACAATTGGCTCGTGTGCACTTTAAAAAACCCAGTACATCATTCGAGAAGGGTAGGGGTTACCCCGGTGTACTGGTCCATTTCCAGTCCCCTGTCCGGCCACAGAAGGAGAGTTTACGTCGCAGCCCATGTCAGGTATCCATCCTACCAGTAGTGACATCACGATTATAGCCGGCTAACCGTTAAGACCGTCTGAAGACCGCTTATAGCAATCCTCCCTGAATACCGTTTTTCTTACCTTTGTGCGCATTTGCAGAGGGTGAATAGACATAGGCCATTGTGTACAGGTAAAAATTTAACAGTCCATAGAATGTCAGAAATTCTGAAGGTGGGAATTATTAAGTTAAGGAGAAAACAGCAAACCTTACAATTACATTTTACTGCTGCTAAATCATATTATTTCAATATAATTTTTTCACCAACCAATATGAATTGAAATTTAAATATAATTCCACTTTATTGTATTTCCAATTGTATTTTGATGTGCTTTTTTTTTTAGTTATTTGCATATGATGTGTCAATTCCTAAGCGAATATTTTTGTTATTTGTCATAAATAGTACTTAAAAAATGAAACATGAACAATGTTTTGCAGTTCAATCTCACATAAACATTAAAAATAAGATGAATAACTGTAAAACAAATTTCATAAACATTCTTCCACCTACACAAATGAATAAATCACTATTCAGTAATGAACACAAATCAATTCATATGGTAAACATTATTTGCTACAGCATTGCGCTCTCCAACCTAAAGAAAGATTGCATCTCGCTAATACATTCTTTTACTTCAGATTTAAACTTTTTTTTTCAATTCCACAATTTCTGTTAAACTGTAAAATGTATACAATACAATGAGGGTGTGCGACACAAAAATATTATTTCTTGTTATTTTTAACATTTTTTATCTCTAAATACTTATCAGCAAAATTAAATGTAATAGCAATGATATCTGTAATTAATGCATCAACCCAACATCTGTAAAGAGTTAAATTAACTCCATTCTCATCACATTAATATTTATATCACCTGTCCCCAGTTATTTCTGACTCAGCTTATAACCTACCTATTTTTGTAAATTTTCACTAATCTGTTTTATGTTCTTTTTATGGTATGCTTTTGCAGCTGTTTTTCAATTTTTCTCCTAGCACCGGTGGTAAGTTATTTTTTAACTTTAATAGGCGCTTTGTAAGTTTTAATTCATTATTATTACTACTACTATAAAACCTTGATTAAAAATTAAGTAGAACGTCAATAAAGGATATAGTTTTTGTAGTAGGTTGATAACTGGCTGATGTAGTTATCTTGCAAGACGCGGACTCCGAACCTCAGTAAAACAATGGAACAGCTGAAATATAAAAGGAAAACAGTCACAGAACATTCACAACCGAATATCATACAAGGGTCCTAAGTCCAAGTTGTGCTAGCCTCCTGCAAGCAAGATCTCACAGGAAATAACCAATCTCTTGAAAAATGTACATCATTTACAATGTTTTTACTACTTTATTAAGTAATAAAAGATTTAAGTGCTAATGGGTATTACAATGTGTAGCAAAATGATATTAGATGTATTTACGAAAGCTCACTTAACCATCTCCTGAAGACAATTTTTCTATCTTGGGACCCTCTAATTAAATATTATTTTTTTTATCATTTTATATATACTTAAAGGTTTTATTATTTAGATTTTTAATATTATAATAAATATTATAATATGATTATTATTATTTAGATTTTAATATTATAGTAAATATGTTATAAAAAAAACTGAACTGCTCACACACAGTGGCTACCCTCACTTTAGCCGACTGAGATAGCTGCCTCAGTAGCTGCTTTGATAGCAACGTTTAAGGAATGGTTAGCCACAAAATCAAGATTTATGCCTATGCAACCCGACATTTTTGACAATTATAATCATCATAAAATCTTACCTGATAGCAACAACAAATAACATGAGTATGGTCATAAACCTCAACCGCAAGTCTATAATAAAAACAAAACAAATATATAAACACAACAGTGCATAAGTAATAAATAAATAAAAAATAATAAACTGCATTCTTATTATACCTTCTAAAATTAATTTGACTTTTCAATATTCAATGTATGTTTGAATCTAGGTGAAATAAATGAAACAACTATTCAAAATCAGAATAATTTATAAAACATTTTTTATAAAGCATTTTTTGTGACATTAATTAAATATTACTGTGAATTAAAATACATACAGTTAAAGTTGCCTTAGTCGACTTTGCCTAACTTGAAAAATTTTTAAGTTTTTATATACCAAGTCGTTGTGTTTTCCATTTATTAACAATCTGTAAGTCAAATTTTATCTAAGTTGAACAATTTTTCGATGCCATTTTGGATTCGACTTAGACAAGTAAAACTGTATAATGTTTTGAAGTTAAAACACAAGGACTGCTTACTCATGTAGGGCAAAGTTCGAAGTTCAGTGAAAGCACGGATTACCAGGAAAAGTAAGTACAGAAGGTAAATACCACCAAATATGAAAAAGAAGATTTTCATTGCCTGAAAAAAAAGAAAGAAAATGGTTTATAAAATTAGTATGGTATACTATTTTTATCTAACATACATATCAATACAGCAATCTCTTCAAAGGCAATGAAGATAGAGTTGGGTCCAAAATACTTAAATAACCGTCTTCCAATCTTTCAATTGAAAATCACTTACTGCTGTAGCATACATTTCCACATTATGCATCACTTAAACTCTTGTCTCTCTTGTGGCTTATATAACATCATAGCCTTAACACCAAGATAATTATAAATATAATGTTGAAGACATACTTTTAAACTAAGCTTTTCAATCATCAGTTTAGCAGATCGCTTGTGGAAACCTCATCATTATGTTTTGTGTTCTGGGTACTAATCTTTAATTCTATTTAAAAAGGTAAGGAATTAAGAGCACTTGACCTACACTGCTAAATCTCTTTGGCCAACCATTAACATGTCATATTCTCATAATGTATTGTAAGGTAATTTTTTGAGTTAAGTAATTGGATGTAAGCTGAGTGCTGAGAGAATGCTGGGTGCTTTTATTGATTAGAAATTAGGTTGACGGATTGATTCATTAATATATTTCTCCTTTAAATCCTTTAGATATAAATTTCATGAATAACATAATAGTGTTTAAAGCCATTCACTCACTTGGGTATTAATAGACAGAAAAGAACGATGATGAAATTATTTTCCTCATCTGGATTTGAACTAAAGATGACCTCCCATACTTACTTGCTTGTATTGTATATTCCACTGGGGATTTTTTCACATTAAGACACATAATTATTTTAAAAAGGTGTCATGTCAAATAAATGTTGAATAATAAATCACATTCAGAAATAGTATCTTTATTTGAAAAAAACTTCCACTAGAAAAAACATTAACATTTTCGAATAACTGATGAAATCTAGAAAATAAAATTGTTCTTCCTTACCAAATAATTCCCTGAATCTACCCGGTAATCGTACGTTGGATCATGTTTTTCTTGATACTGCTGCCAGCATGCTAGGGAAATTGCAGATGCCCATAGCAACCCGACTAGAATGATCTTTGGGATGTAGAACGTCGACCACTTGCGCTTGCTCTGAGAAATTTAGCAACAAAACATGGTCAGTAAAATGTCAAGATTGAGGCTTCATGGCGGCTGACATATGTTTCAGAGAAATTAATGGTACTGTTGCTTAAGGATGGAGCATGCGACTTTTCCTGTGATAATGCGTAGAACTGATTTTTCTAAGACAGAAAAAAGTTGTTTGACGAAAAACTGGGGAACGGTGAATGAGATACAGATTTTTTAATATTTAAAAACTGGGGGAAAAAGGGGTGTAACTGCCCATTTTTACACTTTATTCCCCCAGTTTTTAAATATTAAAAAATCTGTATCTCATTATGCACCGTTCCCCAGTTTTTCGTCAAAAAACTTTTTTCTGTCTTAGAAAAATCAGTTCTACAACATATCAACAAATTTTTTTCCTCCGAAGCCTGACTTTAAGGATGGAGCATGCGACTTTTCCTGTGATAATGCCTAAATGCATACTGCAGCATGATTAATATAATTAAAGGTACTACTATATATACAGCCAAATACTGTAAAGTTCTAAGAAAGTATAATACATACTCCAAGTATTGAAATACACGCCATCGTGTTGGGATTCAATATTTCGACATTAATTATGTCATCATCAGGAATGATTCCTGATGATGACATAATTAATGTCGAAGTATTGAATCCCAAAACGATGGCGTGTATTTCAATACTTGGAGTATGAATTATACTTTCTTATCTGAGATTAATCAGTGGACCTTTCGGTTTTTGGTAAAGTTCTACATTCTATTTTTTAGACAAGTTTTAAACATTATGAAACAAACAACAAAGAAATCCTGATTTTTGTCAAAATATCTGGTGTACCTAGGCCCAGCAGAAGCCCAGATTTTAAGTACAGTTCTGTCCCCATGTAATTTCTGTAGGCCTACAATACACATTGAAAATTACTTTGGCAATCAAAATTTTTAAAGCTCTGTATTAAAATCTTTAGTTTGCAACATGTGTTTGTAACAAACCGCAATCAACAAATAATACATTTCTTCAATAGCAATAAATTCAAACACATCAAAAATACTGTAACATAGTGGAAATGAGCAAATAAATTAAGAAACTGAACAAAAATCATGTCTGCAGGTTAAGTCAGTGCACTTGATAAACAGTAAATTTTTGAAGTGCAATTAACAGTACACTGCAGCATCTACAAATGTTCTAACAGATTAAATGTACTGTAGTATGTATTGAAAATGACTAAATAAATTTTAAGATATTGAACATAAATGCACTGAAAATGCATGCCCATGGCTATACACAGTACACATAACAACTTAGGTGAAGGTAACTCAGGATTCCGTATACATAATAATAACAATAATAATAATAATAATAATGAAGGCTTTTATATAGCGCTCTACACAACTAAGTCTCAGAGCGCTTTTCCACATTACCCCAGTCATTGGAATGATACCTATGGGGAAAATTCTACAGTTTGCTGCATGAAATATATCAATGCATTTTTGCACTCAAACTTCCTGAGGTACCCACTTTTACTCCTGGGTGGAGAGAAGCAATGCAGATAAAGTGCCTTGCTCAAGGACTCAAGCAAAATGCACAGAGAGGGTTTAAAACCCCGACCTCGAAGTCGGGAAACCAAACCGTTTCAGTTGCACCAAACCACATTTTTTTCTAAGAAATTATTTCATAATTACACTTTACTTGTAGGAATCCGAGTATGGTTGTCACAATTACCATTTTTGGTATTAAATCTATCCTTACCTGACGAATACCATGATACACGCAAAGCCAAAATAAAAGCAGTGTACACAAGAATGAGGCCTGGAATACTGAGTCTAGCATCAATGGTACCACACTGTCAACTAGGAATGTTAAAGCAAATATTGGATCTGAAAAAACAAAATGTACATTAAAATTGAATGTGATTTATTTTTCAAGGCCGACAGCAATAAAATATCTAGTCTACTTTAGGCTTGTAAAAATTTAAATAGAAAATATAAATAGACAGTTAACTAATAAATCAAAATATTTTTTGAACAAGACCATTTGGATTTAAATGAAATGGAAAGTCAAAGAAACTACAGTATTACAGTATTAGCTAGGCTAGATAGCTCAGTTGTTAGAGCAACTGAATGATGATCAAGATTCAAGATTCTTGGGTTGGCATGTGGATGCTCATTTTGAAGTAACATAAAAATTATCAACTTAGAAATTAGTGTATTTAAAAAATCTTACAGCAAAAATTATAGAATCACTTCCAGTCATTGGAAGAGTTTTATTATTTTTATCATTATCCAGTATAAAAATCAGAGTACACATTTCTAAAATTCAATAATTGTCTATGCTCAAATTAATAAAATGTATGTTACTGCAAATATAAGAAAGTTAATTTGATTTTAGCTTAGCTAAAATAGCTGTCCATTGTTTACTGAGTCCCTGGGACACGTTTGAGGTAGGTGGTTAAGTGGTATTGTCACTGGTCTCCAACAGGAACTGAGGTTTTAAGCCTGATTACTTAATGTAAAACTAAGTCAAAGAAAAAAATGCATCAAATGTATGATGCAATCGTACCTCCTGAAAAACCCGGGGCCCCTGGACCTCCTAACAGGATAGCTGGCAGAGGGCGCTATTCAAGCCTGAATAGCATTGCTAACAACATCCAGCTTCATTGCCTGACGAAGATTAATCCGCACATTAGAAATGTAAATTATATTATTTTTTGACCCAAGAGTGTTAAAATGGGTACCTGAGTGTTAGGATGTGACTTTTTGATCCAATGAAATTATCTTCGCTGGATTACATGCATCACTAAACCTGACTAGGAATATCCCAAGTGCATGGCTGTTAATATCATTCCAAAGGAACAGGGAAATAATAAATGCTGTTATCTAGATGAATTAGTGGCGAGATCTAAATTCAGTTGGAAACGAAAACACCAAGCAATATTAAATTTCTAAAATTTTTTGGCCAGTATAAAATCAACATACATTAAACGATGTGTAACCACAAGCATTTAAAACATTATTTAAATCGTATTCACTTTATTATCAAGCATACTACAGATGAATAATAAATAGCATTTCTATTTTCTTTGCTTAGACCCTCTCGTCTCATTAATAATTGTGTTTATTAATTGCCTTGTTTGTTGCGTACCAAGGATGCCCAATAATCAGCGGCAGGTGGACAAACCGCTTCCATAAACACTGCTGAAAATAGGTAAATAAATCACTGGAGAAATTCTATTTATTTAGTCTATTTCCATTTAGTAGAAAGCACATACTGATATGAATGATACACTTGCTATTAGCAATCCTGGGTCCATGAGCCTAAATGTATTATTAATCACATCAAATGGTCTGATCTAAAGAGACAGGTTTTGAATGGAAACGGAAAGAAATAGCTGCAGTGATTGAGCAACATAGCACAACACACAGATATCTTTACATTTGAATTTATATTGCATTAGCTTTACTTAAAGATGATTGAAATATCCCATTAACATGGTAATGACATATGCCTGCTTCTAATTTAATATAATAATAATAAAGAAATTCTCCTTGTCCGGGCTAAATTAAAGTGTTGGTAAAAGTATTGTAGATATAAAAAAAAAAAAGAATTTTGAATGTCTGACATGACCTTCTTGTGCTTTGTTTACATGAATTTTTCTGCAAGAGATTAAGATTTATAAAATAATGTGAATAACAGAAGTACTATATGCTTACTTTGTGTAACTATCCTGGTTTTTGTAACTATTCGGTTCTGGTTTTGATTAATATTATCTTACAGTACTGTAGTTTGACCATAGAGGTATAAATGTAGGTTTTTGTTTTTATTAATTCACACAACTGAAATGCCCATTTTATAGGCGAGTTCAGGTAAAATGTTGAAGATGAAATGCATTGAGATATCCCATCTCTCCACTGGCAATCTATATTTGACAACTGGTACCTGTAGCACAAAGCAATTTAACTTACCATTGTACAAAAGAATCAAAGGTAATAAGATGGACATCCACTTCTGCTCAATCGACCAATCACGCATTGTAAACTTGCGAAGCGAATGAGCAAACATACACTAATGAAAGAAATTATAAACGTTTAAAGTGTCTTGTTTTAGGTAGTTTCTCATTTGAATTATAGAATCTTCAGTCATTTCTAATCAGAAACTGTATTAAGAAGATGGGTTTGACTGCAAAAGTACTTAAGGTACAGAGAATTATTATTCGTATACCTATAAATTTTAATAAGCTTGTTGTTGAATTATGTTCTTAAAAATGTTGTTCCCTTTGTTGATAATATTCTAAGAGCAAATAAGATATGAATTTTAGATAATGAATTACAAATTTAAAAAAACAATTTGGTTTGCATTTAAACAATTTTTAAATAAAAAAAATAATTTTTTCGATGATTCTTTTCCCTTTAGTACTTTAAAAAAATTTTTTTTATAGACAATCACCCCACTAAAGGTAAAGGGTTACTTATTTAAAAGAGAATGGTTCATGAGAAATTTAAGTTGGGAAGGTTGATAGCAACAGAAAGAAAACATTATAACGTAACGTTCTGCATTAGATTACCTCTGCACTATAAATACTCGCAAACAGCTTTGTATAAAATGTGTGATGCAAATTGGATTAGAGAGATATGGCAGAAGGAGAAATAGAATTTGAAAGGATTCTAATACTCACTGTCACAATAAATGTCATCACTAAAAACACAAATCGAAACCAAATCTCAACCTGAGTAAACGATGGATTGAAGCTTCGCCACTGCAAAGAGAAGAAAACAATGAGTAAATACAGGCATGATGACATCACATCAATCATGACCATATATACACATATCATGACTATATGAGGAATACCATTCCTAAACCAGTGTAATTAGTAATTGTTAAACCGAGTATTTAGCTTATAAGGATGTGGCGTTATTGCTAACAGATTTCCATGCAGTAAAAAATACTGCATAGGGAAATAGCATTGTCCAAAATGTGGATTCAACAGCACGGTCCTAGTCGTATTGTTTACCATCAAACATTATCCAACATATTTATGTCAGTTTGCGGAAATATAACAAACTACACACTGAATTGATTCCAAAATTAATATAGTACAGTATATGAAATGTGCTCATAGTTAATTTGATGTATATTTTTCTATTGTTATATTTATATATTTTTCTACTTTTTGGATATATTTTTTTTTTAAATTTTGTAATACAAACATATTTAGCTCTTTGCTTTGCTATTCTTTTGTAATATATTTTATAAATAAAAATAAATAATAAAACACTTTACTGCATCACCATGTCGATTTTTATGCGTTAATGCTATTTGGAGATTAAAATAACTCCTGTCATAAATGGCTTGAATTTGAATTATAGAAATTCTCATTTATATGTAGCCAGCGAAAACAATTTTCAACTCAAGAGTATTCTTTATGATAGGCTAGCAATAGAAAATAAGAACGTTTCTATCTATCCATTTATTGCTGACATCTCAATACTCAATCTTCTTCCTTAGATGCTAATTAATACTGTGCATGTCCATTCACTACAGTAGTAGTGTTCTTTATTTTTTATTTTTTTTTTCACTATTATTGATTAATTCTTTTGAAACGGATATCATACTGTGGCATCAATGATTTCTAAAAATCTTTTTATGGTGGATACTTGTTATACCTTCAAGGTTAAGATTCATTTCTTGTATTGAAATCTGTAATTTACAATTGTTCATTTGCATAAATAATTCACAAGATGTGTTTCCATAAACCAATTTATGGCACCAATAAAATCAACAAAGATCAAAATACAGTACTAATAATCAGCTACAAGTTGACCATACAGTAGCTGTAAATAACATTATAAGCAAGAATATTTCTACTGTAAAAAAATAAATAAAATAACGGTAACATAATTACTCTTTATAGCACTAATAATTATTAATTACAGTATAACAATTTTTAACAATGACATTACTAAATACTGATGATGGTATTAACTATAATGATGATTAATTTTAGTGACAAACATTGATAATAATTATAATGACAATGATGAATTAAAATAAATGATTAATAAATTATGATAATTGACTATTGATAATTTATCATAAAGATGATATTGATAAATAATTTTAATCAATTTTAAAGATTTTGACCAATGCATTACCGTAAGAAATTAGTGAGACCCCCCCACTTGGATAGCTTAACGCTCGTCGGACAAGACAGGGCACCACCACTGCATAACCTGTGGATTCATAACCATTATAGAAGGTACTCTAGACACAACCTTTTTAAATTAATGGAACTGACATAATTTAATATAACATGTTTGCTACACTAAACCATAAGCATAACAACCATTTGCCAATTTGCTATATCATGTATACAGTACTGTAAACTGAAGTAAGCTGAGTGTATTTGTATGATACTGTTTTGATCAATACTATGTTGATTAGACGAGACTGGGCATACAGTACAGTGTACATATCTTGCACATGCCTGCATAATGAGCAACATGTCATTCTAAAAAATATCAACCTCTAGTGTAATGTTGGAATAGATCTCCACTTAGTCAGTGGCAGTGCCAGATTGGGGCCGGGGCTCTAGGTACGTCTGATAGGCCAACTTCGCTTCCCCCACCCACTTGGCCGTGATTCATACAGTAGAAACAAAAAAATAAATAAATAAAAAATAAATAAAATAAACATAAAAAAACTGAGCATAATAAATATGTTAATATGTTGGAAAGATTGGTATGCTCCCTCTCCCCTTATAACATCCAAGCAAACCTCTACCAGAAATTGTTTAGATCCCTGCAACAGCAGCTTACCCCTCTTACATGTATATCTTGGTAATAGTACATGTAGTTCAAGAATGTTAAGAAGGCAAGTAGAAAAAAAAATAATACAAAATTTAATTGGGATATTAAACACACATATATAATAAGAAAAAAATTATTAAAACTAAGACACAGAAAATATCAAATTTATGAACATTCCCATGGGTTCTCAGATGACGTAAAATGGATTAAACTGTGTTTATATAGTCCATAAGTCGGAATATTAAATTTACATCCCTGCGGAATAAGCTATCAATTTTACATTTGGTTGAATTAATAACCTCAAAAAGCAAAAATTGTTATTTCGGAAAAGAAAACTAGTAGTTAGTCCTTACTATATTAGAATACTGATGTCAATGTCAATGACAAAATTTAATATATTATACCTGCAATCTCACTTAAAATAGCATTACTTACCAACGACAATATTTCAATCCGATTAGGTATCTTTGTCGCTTTTGAAGTGTCGTTCCTCTACATTTACTTCATGGAGAGTAGATAACGTTAATAGATGTTTTTGAAATGTGGAGTGCAAGATAAATCTTGATGTGTTAAATACTAATAATCTACTTGAAGGCAGACATCTTGAAAACTGAAAATGACGGCGTTAAATAGTCTTAGAAGAAACCAAACTGAATCAGAGGATCTTCTTGAAAATCAAGACCAGGAAAAACAATGCAAATAGGCCTTTTAAAGGCATCAAAATATGTATTTTGTTGATAAAAAGCTATAATTTTTTAAAGTGAAGTACAGTAGGCAATAAATTCGACACTGCGGTGTATGCTGAACTAAATGGAAGGCTTTGAGTCAAGTGAGTACTGTATCATACAGTAGGTGCCGAAGAGAGGCACTCAGTAGTTTTAATTGCATAAATTACAAATCATTCCAAAGCAGTAACAACAGTAAACCAGAGTGCAAAGGTTACCCTTTATTTTTCTGAAAGTTGCATTGGATTGTTTAAAGCGCACACGTCGCTTTCAATGCTATCATCTGAACCATGGGTAAATAGGTCTTAAACCAGCGTCGACGATGCTATGTGTTTCATTGCCCAATATTACTGCACACTAGCGCTCAATTGTATTAAAAAACATCCAGTCAGCAAAAGAATGAGCTACTGTAAGGAGTATTACGGTCTTGTTTTGACTTCTGTAGGCGTTATGTGATGCTTTCAGTTTTTCTAATGTAATATTGATTATCCATCTTCATCTGCCCATGAGATATTTACATAAACTGGTTGATGTAAACCTAATCTAGATTATTTTTTTACAGTAGAAAATCAAGCTTATCAGCAATTACAACATCTTAAATTAGATAAGATGTTCTTAAAAGGACTGAACATTGTGATCATATCCAAGTCCGTCAATCATTTAAGAGGATTTCTTTACTAAAAGTGTATATAGAGTAAACTGCAACTGCCTCTTCACATCCTGAACTTTGAATTTGACATTCAATATGTAGAACTGTGTGATATTATTTCCAATCGTTGTCATATTTGAAATTATTAATATGCTTCTGTAATTACATTGCTAGTGGGTATACTGTAGACCTGCATTGCAAAGCAACATATGAATGAGAAGAAGCCATTTAAGCACCTCTGATAACCATAAGTACAATAAGGTTACATCAGTTCTTGACTTGTGAAATGTAAGCTGACGTAAAGTATGTCCATACAAAATATTATCAATGTTTAATCTCAATACTCTGTATGAATCATATCAGGTATCATAGAAACTGAGCTAACAAAATACAGGTCTAAATATTAAGGTTTGTGAGGATTCACTTAGAAAAAAATATAAGTATGCAAGACATTTGCTGTCTATCAGTCCAGAGCAACTCAAATTTCTTAATTTAGTCAAAAATGCAAAAAAATATATTAAACTAGAAATTGCAAATTGCAAGTGAAGTGCTGCGAAGTACAACTGCATATAAATGTTCTTCGAACAAAATTATTTATGTGAGTCAAGTGAAAATAATGAATAATAAAAATATAACAAATAATGAGAGACACGCCATTGTCTATATTAGAACACTTCTCATTGGGTAACAAAGTCGTAATTTTTCATTTTTGTCAAAAAGTGTCTATAGTGGTGAATTATGGTTTAGGTTTTTTTTAATAAAGTTTCAAAAATTTCTATGTATGTGGAAAATGTAGTTGATTACAATTTTTATTTTGAAGACTGCATGGTCTAGGAAGTGTACATTTTTTTATGGGGCAAGTTTCCAAGGGCGGGTTTTCTAGGGGCGAGTTGACTGCCAAAGAGTGTTGCCAAAGTGTGAGCCAGCGTGTTATTTGATCACAAGTGCAAGACATCGCAGTTGTGCGAGGTATCGGCTGAGATTTGTAAAGTACAATTCAAAAAACAACTATCTATAGGTCTAATAATGAATTATTGTGATGTTAAGTAGACAATGTTAGCTATCAAGGAGCGACGTTGTTTTTCATTGGGACCTTCGTCCCTTCAAGGCTAGGCCTATACCATCCTAGCTAGTCTAGGCCTAGAGTAGGATAAGGCTAGCGCGACATGCGGACATTGGTACATGTTGGTTAGTCTACAAACGTCGCCTAAAGTAATTGATTTTACCCGGCAGAACGAAAGAAGGAAACTCCGCTTTTCAGTCGTCTTAGGCCGATGTTTTTTGACAAACAATGACCTTTCAGAGGTCAAATTGCTGTCAAGAATATGAATTGGCTGCTTCGCAGCAAAAAGTTAATTGAAAAATATTTCGGATTTTGAATGGCCTGGTACCCACTGTCAAATTTAAGCAATAAAATAGAATTAACTAGTAGTTAGAATTAAATTTGCACACAATAATAACTCAACATTGTCTTTTTTTCTGAAAAAAAAACGGCCACTGGTTTAGCCATACACTGTTCCGCTATACTACAGTGTTGTTAAATTTCTACTACTATACTATATAGATAATTTAATTTGCAAACAACACCTCAAAATCATCTTCTTTCCTCTAAAAACTTTGACTATGTCCACTGGTTTAGCCAAACACTATTCTACTATACTACAGCGTAGTTAAAATTCTACTTAATATTGATATAGAAAATTCAGTTTGCTCTCAATAACTCAACATCTTCTTTCATCTAAAAAACTTTGAATAATTGTACAGTGCGTCCACTGGTTTAGCCATACACTGTTCCGGTATGCTAAAGTGTAGTTAACATTCTATACTGATAAAAAAAATTCAATTTGCACATAATATTCTCAACATTATCTTTCATCTTTGACTATGACTACTGGATTAGCCAAACACTGTTCCATTACACTAGTTAAAATTCTTACTTTTAGAGAATTCAATTTGCACTTTCATCATTGACTTCGTCTACTGGTATAGCCAAACACTAAAGTGTAGTTAACATTCTACTTTACTGATATAGAGAATTCAATTTGCAGATAATAACTCAACATCATCTTTCGCTATGTCTACTGGTACAGCCAAACACTGTTCCAGTACACTAGTTAAAATTTAGAGAATTCAATTTGCACACAATAACTCAACATCATCTTTCATCTTTGACTATGTCTACTACAGCCAAACACTGTTCCGCGTAGTTAATAATAAAATTCTACTTCCTAAAATAAAATTTCACACATTACATTCTATAAACAAGTGGAAAATTATGCATGGACTATTAAGGAAATGTTACTGTGATTTCAATGAATATTTTACTAGTTGTGAAGGCCAAACAAGCTGAATAATACAATGTACTTAATATGACACACAAGTATTCCCTCATAAGAGATCTAGTAAACGTGCAATACGGTTGGCTTAATGTTCTCGTTAATACAAGGATTAATGGAATGATAGCGCTGATTAAAAGATTTTTTTATATACGGTCACACAGCTTGCTGTAATATTGTGGCATACTCATTTCTTGTTATCTGACATGGAGATAATTTTTATTGATCAAAACCAGATGTATAATAATAATAAATATCATAACAATAAAATATTCTATATTCTAAAGATTTTACATTGGTTTCTTATTTCTCGTTCATTTATGGAGATAACTTTCATTTATTAAAATCTGTATCAGAAACTTTTTTTATATAGCAAATTGCTATTAAAGAAATTTGAATATCTCTTACAACTTGTAATTACAAGTACTGCACCATACTACTTGATGAATACATTTTGGTATTGAAATTTATACTATAGTATGATGATTTACAGGTATGCGTATACCTGTAAATTATATTAAATGTAATAAATAAATAGTAAATGTATTGTTAAATTGCAATACAAACTGTTATTAATTTAAAGATTGATAACTGTTTCCATTTTTGAAATTACACAATATTTGAATTCAACATGTTGTAAGCAGTGTTGTTTTATTCTTCTAACTGAATGTCTGATGTTTGTTTTTACATTATCACTTTCATTGCCAATTCAGCATAATACTGCAATGTCAAATGTTTGTTTTTTTTTATTTTGATTTCCGTAGTAAAAATGTCTGTAAAAAATGTAAATCAATAGAAATTAAATTATTTTAAACTATGTCACATTGAAAGTTGAAAAATAATTTGAACCTATCAAATTAGAAATTTAATGTTTCAATTTAATGTTTTCTTGATTTAAGTCAGATAGTATGTATATTTAATGGGTTGTTGAATATAATATCACGGAAACTCATCAGCTTCCAGGAACAGGTCAAATATATATTTGCCACAGTTGCTAGGCAATTACAACCTCTGATCTCATGTGTTGCTAAGGAACTTCTCAATCTGAAGTTCACCTGATTGATTATGGCATGCTTTCTCCCCAACATTTATTTTCTCAAAATATTGTGACCGCTCTTAAAAAATGAGATCAGTCATAACAGCTAACAGAAGGATATCAATTAAAATTACAGCAATTATCATTTGTGTTATAGAAGGCTAAAGTACAAAGCAAGGAGCCACATCAACTTTGTGGCTGATAATGCCTGAAAATTGTAGAGGAAATTTTGCATAAGTGATATCTAATACACATTTAAAAAAAAAAAAAAAAAAATACTGTAATAGTAGGTAAAGTCGTGTAAATGTACAATACAAAACAGATAACTCAGACAGATTTAGCTTTCATCAGTAGTCTACTGCCTTCACTGAGAGCATACAGCATCAATCTAGTCTTTCTACTGTATAGGGTATTTTTTCACTGCCCTAGATTTGTAGAGTGATACTTTCTTTTATGATTCATAAAATAATAAAATAACAATTATAATCTGTTTTCAGCTTTCCATACCAAAACACAAAATATGACAAAAATATAATGTGCAGTAACAATCATGAGTGGTGTTCCACCAAAGACTAAAATTCTGTTTTGAAAAACATATTTTCTTTAAAATTATAACATTATATTACATAAAGAACAAGCATGGCTAAAAAATAACATCATAGAATCCATTAGCATGAGAAAACAGGAAAACAACATGAATAGGGACGAAGGCTCACACCAACTATCACATATTTACAACCAACTTCTGAAAACATTTGGAGAGTATCGCTACATAAGACCTAGCAATGACCGGAGCAACAATAAGCAGACCACATCTATCTAACGAGACTATTTATTCAGATTTGCCTTTAGGCACTAGGGCCAAGAATATGGCAAACAGTGAGCTAAATCATTCTTCAAAGTGGTCATCTCATCACAAGGCAACAGAGGCTGTATGGACCAGTACACCGGGGTAACCCCCTACTCATCTCGAAAGATGTACTGGGTTCTTTAAAGTGCACATGAGAAAATTGTGTACATTGGGCCTATGGTTTATAGTCCTTATCCGAGAAGACTTGTTCCACCTCCAGAGCCATAGGTGAGCGTGCCGTTCAAACCAGTGGAGATATTATGGCTGTAGATTGCGGCACCCCTACCTTAACTGCTCGGCAATTCAACTCAAATATTTGACAGTTGGGCAAAACTGTCATCTAAAAAATAACATTGAGTATTGGTTTATTTCTATACGGAGAATACAGTATGCAAAAACCATTATTATGCAATGAAATATAAATAATATAATATGAAGAACCGTTGAATCATTCACATTCACTGTCTATAATACTTACATTAAATGCAATTTCTTGCACATGGAATTCCTCGAGACCAATGAGAGTGATATGTACTATATAGCTTGTGTATTCAATGGTTCCAAGGTGAAAAATTATCAATTCATCGCATATCTAAAAGAATAAATTAATATTAACACATATAAGAAAGTATAATACATACTCCAAGTATTGAAATACACGCCATCGTGTTGGGATTCAATATTTCGACATTAATTATGTCATCATCAGGAATGATGACATAATTAATGTCGAAATGATGATGACATGACATGATGATGACATAATTAATGTCGAAATATTGAATCCCAACACGATGGTGTGTATTTAAATACTTGGTGTATGTATTATACTTTCTTATTTGAGATTAATCAGTGGACATTTCGGTTATTAACACATATTGTATGAAGGTCTTTTGAAATGAAGTTAGAGAGGAAATTAAAGAAATGCTTCAATTCAAACATGACCTATGTTGAGATAACAGACACAATGAACGTCAACAATACAAATCAATGTGAATTGCTTTGCGTACAAAGTTTACTTGCTTTCAATAATAGATTAAAACGAGAAGATATTTTCTTCGCTAATTAACATTTAAGGCTTGCCATCCCAAAACCAACATCAGTGATCAAGAAAATGAAAATTAACTTTAAAGAATATTCTTATTCACAAATAAGTTTTAAAAATGATGGGTCACTGATTGGAATTAACTTTAATACTATCGCCGAAGTCATGAGAAAAGAAAGGAAAGATAGACATGGAAACATTAAAAAGGAAAAGAAAAGAAATGATAAGAAATATAAGAATGAAATTTGAAAGACAGATACTAATTATAAGAAAGAAAATGAAAGGAAAGATAAGGAATCTAAGAAAGGAATGTGAAAGATAAGATAAGGAAACATAAGAAAGGACAAGAAAAGTAAAGATCAGGAACATTTGAAGGGAAAGGAAGAAAGACAAGAAGCAAAAGGGAAAGAAAAATGAAAGGATTTGGGATGAATAGGAAAGTAA